TGCAGTGCCTGGCCCTTCTGGCACCGGGAAAAGGCTCCCATAGGGAGCTCAGTCAGATTTCTCCTTTTCCTTCATGTGCAGGAAGACAATGCTGAACATGAAGAGGCCAACCATCATGGAGAAGGCGCCAGCATAGTAGGGATATGCCGAGGGGATGAACCGCTCATACTGCGTGTGCTGCAGAGGACGCACGGACACCTGGCAGGGGACAGAGCAGCTCTTGCAGTCCAGCAGCCTGGGCCAGCCTTTCCTCCCAGGAGAGTTGGGATTCACTCCCCCACACTTACCTGTGTGGAGGAGTAGAGGTGGGTGTATCCCAGCCGGTTGTAATCCACTTTGAACTGGAACACACCGTAGACGTCTGGCAGCTTGAACTGCACGCTGTATTTGCCACCTGAGAGAGAGACAGGGGAGACACTGAGGGGACACGAGAATCTGTGGAAGGTGAGAACACCCCCAGTGCGGAGCCCGGGCAGCGACAGGGACCCCCTGTTCCTATTGAGGGGAACATCCCGCTCCTCTTGACAGAGACCTACCGTTCCTCTTGAGGAAGGTGCGCACGAAGGGGTCGATGCGCACGAACTCCAGCTGGATGTCGTCCCCGTCGAAGGGCACCCACTTGCCATCAGCGAGCTTCTCGATCACAATGCTGTACTCCTGGGAGACAAATTAACCAGAGATGCCTGAAAACAAGCCTTGGCCCACTCCGAGCTCCAGTGCTCCCCAAATCCTGTCCCTGGGCAGTGCCCCGCCCCGCCAGGCTGGCAGCCTCACCACGAGGTCAGTGACGGTGTAGGCATTGGGTGGTGCCAGCTCCCCGACGCGGTGGTGGGACACGGTGCCCACGCGCAGAACCCCCTCCTCCTTGAACACCCAGCGGGACAGGGCCATGGCCAGCTCGTAGTTACCTGTCTGGGAGTACCTGTGGAACAAGGGAGGCTGAGACAGCCGGGAAAACACCCCGTGGCCCAAACCCTAACCAAACAGATGTGAAAGCAACACAAACTGAGCTGAGGTTAAAGAAAGAAGCTGCTTTCCAAAGCGCTTTGTTCTGCAACAGTAAAGGACGTGTCACCCCAATTCAAATCAAGCTTTCTGCTCCTTCCCAAAGCATAAACGTTTGTTGCCTGTGTCCTCAAAGCACTCCCCAGACATTCCTCAGGCAGGGAAGCCAACGCACCTCTTGGAGCCAGGAGTGGCTTTCTGCACGGCAGAATTGAAGAAGGCATCGCTGAAGAAGTCGAGGGAGCCACTGAAGACGACGCGGGCGTTGTTGCGCGCCTGCAGCCCCGCGATCAGCAGCGTGTTCTTCCCCACTGCGTGCGGGTACTGTGGAGCAACCAGGGGAAAAACGGCTCAGTCCACTTGGGGATGCATAAAGAACAGTTTGCTGTGGGGTGGGACAGTCTGACTGTAGTAGCACCAGCTGCAATTAAGGAGTAACCACGAAGCTCAGAAAAAGCAGGAATAGGGTTCTGATACCATTCCAGCCAGGATGGAACCAAGAGATGCTTTGATCTAGGCTGGCTTCTCCTCCAGAGTATGGAGGACACGTGTCCCTCATACTGAACACCTCCTCATCAGCAGAAAGCAGAGAGGAAGGCAGCATCGGGAAGCAGCCAACAGCCCAACCCTTTCAAAATCAATCAGGAGATCAAACACTCCAGGATTTTCCCAAACAGCTGAAGTTAGAGGGACTAAATTGCAGAAAAACATCTTAAAACAAGAGAGAAATGAAAGGAGCATACCTGAGTGATGGGCTTATCTGGGAAGAAAGAGTAAGAGGTAGAAGAGCCAGTCAGGATATCCAGCACGAGCGGGTTGTCTGGATCAGCCACCATCCTTGCAGGAAAAGCCACGGTGAGCAGCAGGAACACCCTCAGTGTCCCCACACCCAGACAAACGTGTGGCCACCTGCTCAACCCCATGGACCTTCTCACCCCTCCACCTGCTGAGAAACTAAATATTTCCTCCGCTATTTTGTTAGGAACCATTCCTAAGTCAACAACTAAACTATTTTGGAGGATTTCCTTCTATTTCTATTTGAAATCAAGAGAGATTTGTTAAGCTCACGTTAAGAGCCCCAGGGGGTGACCCCACATTTGGCTCACAGCAATACCTCACGTTCAACTGCTCTTTCCCCACCTCACACCCTGCTGCTCACCCAACTCCTCGGAACAGGATGGGGTTCAGTGCTGATTTTCCCACAATGGTGGGGGCCTTCAGCAGGTTCTCAGTGTCGGCCACGATGAGTGTGTGCTGGGGAAACAAGAGAGATCCATGTGAGGTGTGGCAGGGTCTAATGACAAACAACAGCTTCTCAGGTAAAAGTTTGTTTTTACAGACAATTACAACTGTTGGGAACGTTGTAGTTCAATTAAAAAGCAAAACAGCATTTTTGTGTTTATGATCAAATTACGTTAATACTGATCTTCAAGGAAACATAAACCATCACTTGATAAAGACAGCAACACGTAGTGTTTTATTCCCCTGTATTTAGCAACCTGCATCCTCAAATCAGGATAACAGGCAGATATGTACTGCTTCAACAGTATACCTCAAACAAAAATTATCAGAGTACATCTAGCTCAGACCTTAATATACGTTTTAATTTTAAAGTGCTGGATTACACCAGGCAGGCAAAACTGTAGAAATGTTTGTGTGTTTCTATACTGATCTGAAAATCTGCCTTCCCACACCTGAAGCACTGCACTCAGTGTCTTACACACTTCACTCTCAGGTGAAATTCCCCACCAAGCTTCAGAGGGATCCAGAACCAGCATTAATCACAGCCCTGTTGCCTGCACATGGTGATCATCTGAACCAGAGCCTGAAGGATCCTGACAGCAGCAGAACTGAATGTTGCAACATTGATTATTTCCCACTTTCCTGGGAGGAGGGTGGGAGACAAGGGATAGAGAAAAAATGGCAACACAAGGACAGAGGATTCATCCCTAAAATTTTGCACCCATGTGCTCACTAAAGCAGCCAGAAGGAGCAGGCAAAGCCATTACCTGGCCAGGGTCGGAGATGTCGTAGTTGTGGTGGTCAATGACTGCTGTCCTCTCCTCATCAAACTCGATCCCACACTCGCTGCCCAGCTCTCGCAGGGGGTCACCTGCAGGAACACAACGGGTTCTCTGTCACAAGACACAGAAACTCTAAAGTAAATTCAGCTCAGAGTGTGTGTTCAACACTCTGTGAGCCAAACCCCAAGGAGGAACATGACCTCCTCAGCTAAATTCCCCCTGAACATGTTACTAAAGGCACGAATCAACCATTTCCTCCCAGAGCAAGCCTTGAGGGGAACAAGGAGCAGCTGGTTTTGCTGCAGTGAATTAATTCTCTGAAGGAACACCTGCACTCACCAATGTCTGAGCTGGCAGCAACGAGGACACTGCCACCGCCATCGATGAATGCGGTGATGGTCTCCACATTGATGTTTCCACCAAAGTCTGAAAGCAAATGCCAAGAATTCATGGCTAGAGCTCAGAAATAACCCCCGGCAGAATTAAACCATGGCAAATCATCAAGCCAATGGAAGAACCACCAATAAAGGCTGTGATAGAGCTGCAGTTTGCTACTGAGTACATCCAAAGTATAGGACTTGACTAAAATTCACAAAACATTCCAAAAATGCTATCAAGCTCCAGTTTTCCCCCTCCACGTTTACCTTCTATGGATGGGGAAAAGATGATGAGGTTGTCATACAGGAATTCACCATATTTTATCAGTGATAAGCCGGCATCATCCGCTGTCCGGAAGGTGAGGTCAAAGCCCCTGTCTGCAGCCAGGAGACAAAAGTGACAACTTCTCCATGCCATGAAATCATACATGGAGCAGCAAAACAGCAGCAGGATCCAGAGGTTCATTTCCCCAATTAAAGAACACTTCAGAAAAACAGGCTTAGGGACTTTTTAAGAGAAGCACCTGCGAGTTCCCACATAAACCCAAGGGGTGGATCCTCTGAAGATGTCAAAGGATGCCCCACTGTCACCCATGAAACAGGGACTGATCCTACAGGGGACCTAAATACAAGCACAGCTCGGAAAACAACCCCCATCACCTGCCTCATTCTGACCAGAAGATCCCAAACAGCCTCCCTCCACCCTCCAGGGAACCCCAATCTCCTCCCTCAGACTGGCACGATCTGTTCCCTCAGCCTGACAGGGGACCCTAATCTCCTCCTCCACTCTCACATGGGAACCCCAAACACCTCCCTTTTCTGCCTGGAAACTCCAATTTCCTCCCTTTGCCCTTTTGCCCTGTGCAGGATCCCAAATCTCCTTCCTCACCCTGAACAGGGAACCCCAACCACCCCCCTCTCACCCATCCGGACGAGAGGAGTCCAAACGCACCCCCTTCCAGCAAGGGACCCCTGGGTTCGCTCTCTGCAGTCCCGTGGCCTAGCTATCTCCTCCATCGGCCTGACTCGAAGACCCCAAACATCCCCTTTTCCCTCAGGTAACCCCAACCTCCCTCATCCTGACCCTGGGTCCCCAACCCCGCTCCCCCCGCCCCATCCAACCCCTCCCGGGATCCCGCCGCGGCCCGCTCTGTACCCGCGAGGCTGCGGAAGAACATTGAGTGCGTGTCGCGCAGGTTCCCGTTCTCCAGCAGCACCAGCGTGCGGGGCCCCCCCTCAGCGCCGGCCGCCAGCACAGCCAGAAACCCACACACAGCAACAACGGCCGCCGCCATCTTAGTCCCGGCCTCCGAACTAACTCAGAGGCGGGCAGCTTCCAGCCAATCAGCGCCGGAGCCGATCAGGCACCAGCCAATCAGCGCCAGCACCGAGCAGCCTCCAGCCAATCAGCGACAGACAGCTCCGCGACACTGGGACGCAGCGCAGGCGCCATCGCGGCCGCTGTCGCGACAGCGCTCTCGCGACTCGGCGCGGCCGCCGTCGCCGCGGACAAGGGAGGGCCCCACCGCCGGCCCCTCCCTCCTGTGCGGCGATGGCGGCCGCGGTGACCCGGTCCGCCCGCACCCGTAGTGGTTCAGAAGCGGCGGGCGCTGGAGCTGGCGTTGCCCTTCCTGCGCTTGGTGTCGGCGCGGGGAGCCGAGGTCAAGGACTGCAGGCGGAAGGGCCGGGGCTGGGGGATGGTGCAGGCGCTGCCCGCGGCCCCCTGGGAGCCTGCGGGAGCTGCAAGAGGAGAGGAACGTGTTGTGGTGGGTGCCTGCGGGACCCCAAAATGCGGCTGCGTCCTGCGAGAAATCCCTGAGAGGGGTTGAGGCAGAATTGGTCTAGGGTGGGTTACCATTTGATTTCTCAAGGAAAAGGAGGAAAATGAAGAGTGCCGCTGATATCTGGGAAAAGGGGATTACCTTGGTCCAGTTGAAGGATCTGGCTGGCTCGTCGGGATCGGAAGTAATTGCTGGCGATGGTCTCGCTGTTGCTCCTATCCAGCACCAGCCTATAGTGGTCTTCCTCGGGCTGCAGATGGCAAACGCTGTCAGCAGCACCAGCAATAAGGCAAAATTGGTAAAATGGGTTAAAAATGGAGGCGGAATGGGCCATACCGCTGGCTGCCCGCTCTCATTCGAGGGGCTTGTCCGGCCAGGTTGGGGCTGTGGCAGGGCTGGAACCGCTGTGGGAAGAGATGGAATTAAGGGTCGTTGTGTGTAGAACAATCACCACTCTGCTGACTGCGCTGCCTGATCCCGACACTGCTCAGAGATTCTCGAGGGATCTGCACCACGTGCCACCATTGGACAAACTTTATGTGGAAGATGTTGTGAGTGCATGCAGCCCAAGCATGACCTACCGAGCGTGGCAGAACTGGGTGCCTGCATCACGGTCCCCCACAGCACGCTCCTATCTCCTCTCTGGGCACTGTCCCCTTACCTGCAGGCAGGTGCGTTTTTTGAATGACAGGCTCTGGGATTTTCCAGCAGCCGCTCTCCTCGTCCCAGACGGATTCACGCCTGATCCTCTCCAGGTAACTGTAGTCGCAGTCGCGCCGGACGAGGGACTGCACCTGACCCAGCAGCTGCTGGCAGAGCATCAGGTCTCGCTCCTGGCGTCAGATGGTGCTCAGATAATCCGTCTTTTCCAGCCCAAACTCCTGCTGCAGGTCTTTGATCTCAGTCTCAGCAGCCCGGAGCTGGACACAAAACATCAGGATTATAAGGCAGAGAGATTGATGGATACTAGGAGTACAGGAATTTGCCAGGCAGAGAAAGACACTCAGAAAAGCTTCAGTGTTTGGAAAGATTTATAATTTAGGTACAAATTAGTATGAAATTTGTGTGGCGGGAATATTCCATGTCTGTTTTAAAGAAAGTTCTCCCATGTTTCTCCACAGGGATGATTTTGAATAAACCTGAAGATAATCTTACTGGTTGGTCTTGGAACTCTTGGAAGTTCCTAACTTGGTTAAAGAGGTACAATATTTCTTTGATAACCTAAATACCCAAATAAAGCAAGTCCTTCATGTGCAGGTCTAGGACTGTACACACAAATGTCTATTTTTTTGCAGACCCTCTGATTCTGCCACAAAATACCAGAGCAAAACTGATTTTCAGGTGTTTTGAAAATTAAGATCTTAAATGTAAAATTTAAGAGCATTACTTTTATGTTTTATTTCTTGCCCCAGAAAGTGCGCTTGGTACTGGCAGCAGCTGCAGCAGGTCTGCAGGTCAGCAGAGGGAGTCACATCCCCTCCTATCCCAACACGTCCTCCTCCAGCCAAGTGTAACACACCGAGCCTATAAAACTGGTGGGGTTTGGGCTTCAAAAGCTTAATTCCCCTGAGGGCTCTTGCATCTGGGATTTCATAAAAACTCACACAAACAATGTGGTATATGAAATACTGACACAGCCAGAATCATTCGCTAAACCTACAGCCCTAAACCGTGTAAGGTAAAAAATGGGAATGTGGAGGAGGAAGGAGCTGCTGCTCCCTCACCTTTTCCTGCACCTTCTCCAGCATCTTGCTCTTGGCTCGAAACTCCTCCTGCATGGAGTCATAAACATTGAGGAGAGCCTGCTCACTGTTGTCCTCGTTGGATTCCTGCAGTGCGGCCACCGACTGCAGCCTCCACTTGTCTATTTCTTCCGGCGTTTGTGCTTTTCCTTCAGGTCCCTGTTCTGAGCCTGCTCCCCCCCAGCCACCTGCTGCTCCAGCATCTGTAGCCTGGAGAAGGGGAACATGAGATCAGTGGTGCTAAAAACCAGCTTCACAAGCATGGAGGATGCACGTCCTTCCACGGGTAACATTTGGGAAGACACTGAAAATTGGGAATGATAAGATTTTCTGCCCTGAGTAATCACGGCAGATTCTACTAATTATTAACAGTTTCTGTCATAAAAATAAAGAATCCCAGAATGGTTTGGGTTGGGAAGGACCTTAAAGGCCATCTCATCTCACCCCCTGCCATGGGCAGGGACACACACCTTCACTATCCCAGGTTGCTCCAACCCCATCCAACCTGGCCTTGGACACTGCCAGGGATTCAGGGGCAGCCACAGCTTCTCTGAGCAAAATACTCCACAAAGACAAAGCATGTGTTACTCCAAGCACCTCAGTCAACAAGGCTGTCCAGAAATCCATACCTACACTCACAAAAAGGGTTTCTCTTTAAAACCCTTGTTTTGTGTAATTTATATTTAAATTCTTATTTAAATAAGCATTGAATATATTATTGTATTTATTTTTTTTAAAGATGCACAAAAAGTGCCAAAATTACACAGAAGGTTATTTTAAATGGTGGATGTGGAAGTGTTAGAGCTGAAAGCTGCAGTGTGGCTTCCATTTTGGGGCAGTATCAGCCAGAGTTGATGATTTGTGTGACCTCAGCATTGTTAATGGAGCACTGGCACAGGCCTGTGTTTGAAATCATGCTCTGACATGGAAATAAAGCCATGCTCCAGAGCCATTCCTTTGTCTGCACAGAATCTGGAGCAGAGCAGATAGCTCAGGTTGGCCAGAACTGGCTCTAAGTGGTTGATACCCCCTTTACAGATAACAGCCTCTTAATTATCTCCAAACCCTCTGAAATTACTAATTCTCCCCCAGAACTGAACTGCTATTCTGCTGTACTGCTCCTGCCAGGCGACCTTCCCTTTCCTTTGCTTAATACACAATTGAATCGAAGGATTCAATCCTTGCTCTGCTGAGCTGCCCCAATATGTAAAGCTTGAGCAGGTGGTTTTGAAATCCCCACACATATGGAACCAAACCTTCCTGTCCAATTTGCACACAACCTGGATTTAACAATGTGATTAGAAGGGCATCTTCCCTTGTTTGCCACAAAAGGAATAGGATTCATTCTTGCAGTAGTACTGCAATAGGACTACTAACATTTGATATCAAATCCAAATGAAGGGTTTCTTTGGACATCTCTCCATTAACAGACAGAATTGCCCACAAATTACAGGCACTGCTGTTTTGCATTTCATAGCAGCTCCTTTTTGAGCCAGAAGAGACCCAATAGAGTGAGCACATGCCACAGGAAAGCTGAAAGACTGGTTAAAACCCACAGAAGGACTGGTTAAAACCCACAGAACTTTCAGAATCAGACTGTCACAGGGTATCTTGGGTTGAACTTTTCTAATTGTAATATAGTTCCACACAATGGAGTAAGAGAAAAATCAGGACAATTTGCTTCAGTTGTGTATTTCTGGAGCAGCCCAAGCCCCCATGCTGCTTCTAACTCTGGCTGAGGGAGTTCTCTCAGGACAGCTCTCACACCGAGAAAACCTTGAACCAGGTTGATTTTGAGATGAGATGAGCTGAGCACGAGTCTCAAGCTGGCATCCCTCATATCCCAGCCCTGTCCTCTAGACACTGACAGTGCCCCTGAAATAGGATTATTGGGAAATTTTGCTGTTAGTTCTGGATGATGTGCTGCAAACACTGTGAGATGCATGAGTTGGAGGCAAAAGTGGCCTCAGTGATGGGAAGAGTCCATCCATGAACCATAGGACAGCTGCTGCCTTACCTGTAGGGACATCAGAGGGCTCCAAGTGCCCTCAAGGACCTCTTTCAAGAGGAAAAGGAGGCATCTCCATAACCTGTGTGGGCACTTAAGGCTCCCCTGCCTGCAGCTCCAGGCAGGATTTGTTACCAGGAACACAGACTTTTTGGCATCCACATTTGCCGACTTGAACATCTCCATTTTTCTCTCACAGTTCTGGCGCTTGGCCTCACTGAGTGCCGCAGGGAATAGCTCTTCATCCACCCAAATAGGGCAAAGTTAGTCTTGGGGTAAAAACAGCCTGGAGGAGACAAGGCTCCAGTAATACCTCAGAGCCTTTCCCAGTACCTAAAGGGCCCCAAGAAGGCTGGAGAGGGACTTTGGACAAGAGATGGAGTGCCAGGACAAGGGGGAATGGCTTCCCACTGCCAGAGGGCAGGGTCAGATGGGATATTGGAATGGAATCCTTCCCTTTGAAGGTGGGGAGGCCTTGGCACAGGGTGCCCTGAGCTGTGGCTGCCCCTGGATCCCTGAAAGTGTCCAAGGCCAGGCTGGATGGAGCTTGGAGCACCCTGGAATAGTGGAAGGTGTCCCTGCCATTGGCTGGGAGTGGAATGAGATGAGCTTTAAGGTTCTTCCCACTCAAACCAGTCTGTCATTTTAACTCACGTGTGCCTGGTTTGGACACTACCAGCTGGATCTCAGCAGCTGTGGTGTCATGGCAGAAAGCAGCTGCTGCCTGTGAGTGCTGCCCAGGGGACAGTTGGCACGAGCAGGTATGTCACTGACCTGGCAAGCACCAGCTGCTGGTCTGCAGGCAGGGAAATCCCCGGGGCAATGACAGATCCTGCTGCTCCAGCACTGGCCCTGCTCACCCCACCAGTGTCTGTGACAGTCCCAGATGCTGCTGGGTGCTGGGGATAAGAGGAAAACAAAGGCTGTAGCTCTGGAAAGACGCAGTGAGGGTCCTGGAGGAGATGAAGCACATTACCCACTCAGGTTTATTCACCCCGAGGGGAGAAGGAGCCTGGAGGGTACCTGGGCTGATGTTGGCTCTTCATGTGCTGCAGCAACAGCATCTTCATATGAAGGTGTGTGGTCAGAGGTCGTTTTAGTCTGTGTGTCAGCTGAAAAAAGGAAATGTTGCTAAAGAGCTGTGCAAAACTAGATATAAATCTGTGAAAACTTCTCCCAAAGCCTTCACCCAATGCTAGGAATGATGTGTATGAAAGGAAAAGGGCTGTCATTCACCTACTTCTGCTGGTCAGTAAAATCATGAAAGACTGAGAGGGTGTATTGGGTAAGGAATGCAGATTGTACAGGGCCGGGAGAGCCTGGCTTCAAAACTAGTCAATTTCAGAGGCTGGGGATGCACATTTGCAATCAGAGGGGGAAGAAGTAAAGAACCTCTCAACCTTCACCTAAGAAAGTGATAGCATCAAAAATGAAGAATACAGATTCAAGAATTACTAGTGGGTGGAAAGTGCTATATGAGCACATTGCAAATCATGCTCTGAGGCACTGTAGGTGTCGAGGAGAGGAGAGGAGAGGAGAGATCTGCCTTGCAGCAAACGATGGTGTGCATAATCCATCGGGAGAGCAAGTGCTGCAGCACCTTTGCATACAGAGGAAGAGACTGCGGCAGCCACCCTGGCCTTGGGAATGAGAGTCCCGAGGGATGGGGACAGTGGGATGGGGACAGAGCAGTGACCTCTGCTCCAGAGACATGCTGCCCTCAGTCAGGGGGAACTCTGCTACGTGGGCAAAAAGCAAGCATTTCATTCAAAAATGAGGCTTTTCATTGCCTCAAAGTGTAAGGTCAGGGTCAGGCTGGTCCCGACAGGGAAAGAAGTCAGGGAAATAGGGAAGAGGACAAAGCTGGGATAGAGTCTTAAATCTGGCCTAGGAGAGGTAGAGTCCCTGCTCCTGCTGTGGATAAAGGTGGGTTGAAAGCAGGGACTGTTTCTGCCAGGGAGCACTTGCTGCCTTTTAAAAGCTGCAGGCTGCCACAGATCTGACTGCAAAAACAGTCCCTGCTCCTGAGGGAACCTGGGCTTGGCTGCACAGCCTCCACGTGCCTCCTCCACACCTGCTTCCTTCCTGAGGAGATCCTGGAGAACAGACACCTTGAGATCAAAGTCATCCCTCAGGCTGCTGATGTCCTTCTCCAGGCGGGCACGGGACACCTGCTCTGCTTGGTAGCTGGCCTGGAGCCGGGCCAGCCTCTCCTGGTACTCCTGCAAGGCACAGCAACAGTCCTGTGACTGTTCCTGAAGTTACATCCAGGTCCATTCCAGGTCACACCTTATGCCTCATTCTTCCTCCTGGCTCTGTATTCCTCTTTTTCCTCATCTCTGTACTGTTCCTAACACCTTTGACTACTCTTTCTTCAACTCTATTCCTCCCTTTTCCAACAATTTCATGTGTAGTTCCTCTAAAACTTCTTCCTGGGAATCCATTCCAATCCATCCCCAGAGAGATGGGAACAAGAGGTGGGTTATAATAAGGCACATGGCCTCTATAACACATGGTCTGTTCATAGGAGAAGCCCAAGGATTACAAATTGAAGAAATAAATAGAAAAAGAGAAGTGTTCTGGAAAGGCTGGACGATATTTATCATGATTACTATGAAAAAAAGTTTTAGTCAAAGCCACTCTGAGATATCCCTTCCCAACTTACTTCTCTGATCAGCTGCTTCCCTGCTTCCAGAACCACCTGGCGTTTGAGGCAGGAAGCTGGATTTGCTCCCAGGTGAGCAGCTTCAGCAGGTAGAAGCCCTACAAAGCAAAGTAGAAATAAAAATCATTCACAGTCACTAGGTGGGATTGTCTGCAGAATTCCTGGAAAGAGAACAAAGAAGCTGAGTGCCAGGAAAGAACATGGCAACCCCTGTGCTCCTTCAAAGCATGCTTGCTGCCAAAACGCTGCTGGCCCAGGGCTCCATAGGTGTGGGGAGAGAGAGAGAGGTTCCAGCTTCAGGGGAAATATGGAAGTGAATGTAATTATATGGAATTTATAAATACAAATCTCTTTCAAAGAAAAACAGGAGATATGTTTCCAGAGCTATCCTACAGATTTGGGAGATAAAAGACATTGGGAAGAAGAAAAGTGCAAGGAAATTACCTTTGTTCACAGCTATTTCTGAAAGGAGGCAGAAAGGGGGAAAAAGTCATCCTACAGCCTCATTCCTCTGCTGAAAGTTGGCCTTTTTTAGGGGCTAATTCTCCAAAGGTGATCAGGTCCCTAAAGACTGCTCTTCCTCATTTGCTCCTACATTTCCTATTTCTGCTCCAGAGAACAGAGCAAGTGTGCTGAGGCTGGGCTGAGTCCTCAAGCACTGCCATAAACAGGGCAAAACTTCTCTTGCAGTGTCCAAAATTCACAATGTAGGAGAATAGGGGCCGAATGCTTATCTTGAAAACATACATATATATATTTAATAAAGAATTTTACAGTATTGTTTCTTTTGCACCTCATTTTTGTTCTTCCAGGTGAAACCTCTCTTCTGCAACTGACCAAATTCTAGCCACAATCACCAAAAATAACCAAGGATTTGAATCATGTCAGCCTTTTCAAACAGAACTTGTCACTACTTAAAACACTGGATTATTGAGATGGTCTTTGCCAGTGGAATAAGGTCAATTTGGCAGCAGTGAAGGAAAAGTCTGTAATCAGAATGGAGAACTCTTCCTCCAATAGGTAAGGGAAAGGTTGAGGTAAAATTTAGCTAACATTTTATATGTAAAACCCCGTTTCTTGACATCTCTGCAGCCAGTAAAGGTTATCCTACCTGAGAAGTCACTCATGCCCATCTGTTCAGCCAGAATGGCCTTCAGCTTCTTCATCTCCTCCTGGTACTACCTCAGCAGGGCATCCTTGGGGTCCTCATTGATGCAGGGCTTGTTCCTGATGTTCCTGGCTCGATTTGCATAGCGCAAGGTGCTGAGGCCTTCCTCACAGCTGTCATCAGCCGGAGACATGCATGCCACCACCAGGGTCCTGGTGTTCCCCCCAGGGAGTCCTGGAGCAGCCTGGTCAGTTTGGAGTCTCGGTAGGGAATGTGTCTGCACCTGCCATCCACCAGGGCCGAGATGACGTTGCCCAGGGCAGACAGGGAAAGGTTGATCTTGGTGGCCTCTCTGAGACGCTCCCCTGTGGCACCAGTCCTTGATTGTCTCTCACTTCCTGCCAGATCCACCAAATTGAGTTTGGCAGCCCTAAGGTGGTCCTGCCCTTGCTCATCTGCACGGAAACAATTCCCAGTTAGCTCTTAGAAGGAAGCATCTCAACAGTCAAGAACCAGAACTCTTTAATATGTCTTTATTTTTTTATTTAATAATTAAGTATTAAAAATAAAATTTTTAAAAATATGTAAAAATCTAATTAAAAATACAGATGGGAACGTGCATGTTTCAAACATCAGCAGCCAAGAGCACAGTATTTTTCATAATTCCTGAATGTGTTACTTAAAAAAAAAGTAATTTTAAAATATCAACTCACTGTAAATTATTATTTACAGCTCATCTGGAAAAGAAGTTTGAACTCTTTAGGAAGCCTGAAGACAACAACAGAAATACCAACTTCCTCAACTATTTCAGCCAATGCTCACCCCAGCAGAACCATCCGGTTTATGGGGATTGGCCAGAGCCCTCAACTTCCTCGTCTTATTCCATCTATTTTTAACTGCCAAAGCTGCAGGTTCCCCACCTGCCATCCTGTTCCATGACATGTTTTCAAAGCTTTAAATCAGAGAAATTCAGATTGAGGGCCCTGCACCAATCTTGAGCACAGAAGAGGAGTGCAAATACTTCTTCCCTGTTGCGATAAAGCTGGGATTTTACAGACCCACACAATGCAGTGTCTGTGCTAATTGAGAAACTCCCCAAATCCCTCAGATACTGAGTGGAAAATGAGGTACTGTCATCAACATCTGGAACCACAGTTTTGGAAGTCATTGTGTAACTTTCCCCATGAATGAAACAGCTGAAGAAATGAAACCAAGCTGTTCCCAGCCGGGGTCAAAGACAAGGCAGAGATTAATTCCCTTCTGCTCCCAGAAAAACCCTCTTGAGGTCCCTCCCTGTTCAGACCCAGAGAGGCAGCTCTTCCAACTAAAGAAATGCCAATAAGATACTAATGAAAGTATTAGTATGGAAAATCAGTAACTAAAACTTCATTAAAGGACTCTTTAATTCCATCTTTAAAAACTATGTCCTATGATTAAACTCAGTAAAGGAATTGTCAGGTGATATGACCTGAATAGTTTCACTTGGGAGGGACCCTAAGACTCATGCCATTCCACCCTCTGCCACGGGCAGGGACACCTTGCACTGTCCCAGGGTGCTCCAAACCCCAGTGTCCAACCCGGCCTTGGGTATTTCCAGGGATCCAGGGGCAGCCACAGCTGCTCTGGGCACCTGTGCCAGGACCTCCCCACCCTCCCAGGGAAAAGGATTTTTCTCCTGGGCCTACAATCATTTGGGATCTAAGGGTAGTCGTGGGATGAGTGACCACACAGATCCTGTGCCCTGCTAGGCTCAGGCCCAAGGCAAGGCATCCAGGTACCCCCCAAGAGTGCAGATTTCCATGCTGACAGTGAAGATGGAGTGGGACCATGAGGAGTCCTTGTTCATGAGGGTGAAGGCCACTGCTCTGTTCCTGCAGCCCGTGTCCATCAGCTGCTCACACTGGGCCACGTTGTGCACGGCGTGCAGGGACAGCCCCTTCACGTACCCCCCCTGCTCCGGGTGCTCCTTCAGCTGCCAACAGGACAACGCAAGCCAGATCACAACAAGAGGCACTGCAACCATGGAAAATTACACTGGGAATCGTCTGGAAGCTTGAGGGCTACGTGAAATTAAACTGCAACATGAGAAAAACATATCTGACTTCCACCAAAAAGCCTTATTTCTGAAAGAGGAAAAAAAACACAGAAAAAGAGGAAACCACCTTCATGGCTCAAAGAATTTAAGTTAAAAGTTGCTGATTGATTCAGACATCCCCCAGGCCATGAAGAATCTAGCTTCCATCCACCCTCCTCCTTCTCTATTATTAAAGCTGCATATTTTAAACAATAATCAAAATACATCTCACCTATTATGGCAAAGGCTCTAAGATCTCCTCAGTCATAGGAAGCTTTTTTTAATATCAAAGCACAGAGACAATATTCCCAGATATTGTTCCCAGTGCTTTGCTGAACTCTGCTCTGAGTGGGTGGCTTGAGCTCACTGACAACATTCCCAAAGTACCACCTGTCACAAACAGGTGAACTGCCACCATTTTTCTCTAGATTAATTAATTTTTAAATGAACAAAAATTATATTTGGGACCCTGGGTTGAGACAGAGCATTAAATACCCAACAGCATCTTCTCAGTAGTTATCAACCACATGGATGGAAAGTTTCATACAGAATGTTAATAAGCAATGGAAATATCCAAAATTTTGAGTTATCCATCAAACCTACATAAAAAATACAAAATAATCCAGAGATCCCTGTACTCCTACACCAGCCCCCTCCACACTGGGAATTTTAAATGAGCTGAATTAATTTTCCACAGCTCTGTTACACCCCATATCTGCTAAGTTCATCACCGAAACTATCTTTATAATGTCAGCTGGGATATCAAGATATGGTTGTCATGATGGAGAAACAGAGATCACATTTGGCACTGTGACCTCCAAAGAGGAGGCTCAGATACTTCAGTGATGTTCACAAGAAATGACGTAAAATAGTGTTTGCGATTAAAAAATCCCACAGAACAGAGCAGAAAACTTAACCGGGTGGGATTTATCCTTGTTCCAAAGCCACGATGCACAGGATGAATCCAAGTACAGCCACAGCCAGTGTTCATACACTGTGACTCGTCTGTGCTGCTGAGAACCCCAGGACTGGCCTGGCTCTGTTTGGGGGTGTTGCAGAGTCCCTGAGGAACACCTGACCAAGCTGTAGGCACTGAGTGAAAGGCAAAGGAATGAACAAAAATGGGATTCTGGGGGGAACTGGGGGACTCAGAGGAATGCAGTGGGGCAACTTGGGATTTGCTTCGGCAGGACACACTCCCTTAAGTACTCAGTGGAGGCAGCAACAGGCAACGTGACAGAGTTACCCTGGAAACTGCTGTGCCCAGCTCCTGCCCTCCCAGTGCCAACTGCGTCGCCATGGAAACCCGTGTCACCACCGATGTAGAACAAAGGATGGGAAACAGCAGCAAGAAGTCCCCTTCTCCCACTCTCCCTCTGCAGGAGACAGGCAAAGCACACTTGGAACACGGAGTAGAGAGGGGTTTGTCTGCCTTAAAGCCAGAAATCTGTTAGAAATACCTGGCCTGTAAGGCAGTTTGAGTCTGTTGCCATCCCAGAATGTCTCAAGGTGTTACTGCCTTGGTTTTATACACCAGGACAGTCCTGCAAGGAAGTAAATTGGGAAAGGAGATTTCTAGCTCCCTCCAGGAATACATACCAAAGGACCTGCAAAGCCACCAAGAGGTAAATTTTACAAAGATCAACCCCCTGATTAGGATTTTGGGAGAGTTTACCCTCCTGCGGTCCTGTAAACGTCACTTGTGTTCCCATGGGGAGTAATATCTGCTGTGTGCCCTCAAAACGGATCAGCCTTTTTAGTTTAGGCACGTAAAGAGATCATCCATGGCTCCACTAGATCAGATTAAACATTTGTAAGGCCCAGAATCCTCTTGCTTTAGAAACAAGCATGAGATGAAAAGGATGAGGAAGAAATTGCCCCATAAGCACTCTATTCTATCTTTGTCCAGTAAAGGATTTTCACAGAGCTGCTACTGAGCTACCAGCCACTATCATGTGGGATACACTGGACATGTCTCTGACTGCATCCTGTTCCTAAACTTTCACTAAAGTCCCTCAAAAGTCCCTCTTAGCTTCCCCATTCCTCATGTAACTTCATATTCTGGCACTCAAGCTTCTGACAGAGACCATTGTTGTACTTCTGTAAGTCATGGTAACACTCATCTGAGCTAATTAAAGCACTTAATTAAGACACATTGAGCCCTCCTCACCTCCAGCTTCTGCTTGGTGTCAGCTCCTAGAAGGTCTCGTATGTCCTCATTGTAGATCTCCAGGTAGGAGGCCTTCAGCAGGAATTTGGCATTTTCAGCACACTGCACAGCACAGGCAGCCCAGGGAGCCCCTCCCACAGCTGGCTGTCCACCACCCTTCAGCACCTCATCCAACCTCCCCTGGCAATTCATTCCAGGTGGAACCACTCAACACACTCACTGCAAGAGACTTCTGGTCCTTCCACACCTCAAGTCCACAACGTCATCTGGGGTGAGACTGCAGTTCACCTGACTATGGACAAGCCTCAGCTTAAGGATGAGAAGCAGTGCACCCCAAACCTGTCCCCGTGCACACTTCATGCCATCAGCACTCACTTCTTGGGATAGGACACCAAAGCCTTTCTAGCAAAAACTTATAAATGGTATCTCTTTCACACCCACCTGTACGCTCTCAAAGATGTGTTCAAATGCCCTGGGAATGATCCCTTTCTGCGAGGAGGGATCTGCAACTCCCTGCATGGTGAATGACTTCCTGCTGCCAGTCTGGCCATACGCAAAGATGGTGCCATTGTAGCCTTCCATGACACCCTGAAAATGGGGGAAACCAAAGAAAGCAGCCATCATCTTTGCCTAACTGGAAACATTGTCCAGATTCATTCTCGCCCCCTAAAAGGCATTTTAAAAGAAGAGCTGGAGGTAAACATCAAATTGCTGCTTAATCTTCACAAACCATCAGAGAATAGCAATTACAAAATTAGCATATAAATCAATGTTTTTCTCTCAAAACAGGGAATCTTGAAACAATGCAGATGTTGAAAAGCAGTTGACAACACCAACACTTAGAAAACCATAATATTTTTGCCATAGGGCACAAAAATCTTACAAGATTCAAAGAGACAACTAGAACAACAGTTGGCTATGGGGTGGCCAAGGGGATGGTCTCTAGCTCTGAGTAAGTTTTGCTTGGCAAGCTGCTCAGTGTCACTTGTCCCTATTTCAGAGAAGTGTAGTAGGAAGAAAAAATAACTGGATTACTTAAGGTTTAAATAAACAAAAAATAACCTATTATTCTAATATCTAGTGTTTCTAGCCCTGCTTGTTTTAATGATCAGGAACTTCTATCTTAAAAGCATCACAAGACATTTAATCCATGTTACTTCTTCTAACAAAACTTTTTCTGGGGGGGGAGGTTAGTCTTTTTTTGCTAACAGGTTCATTTCTCACCTCAGCTGTTTCCTCTGCTGATCTGTTAACAAGGAAACAAAGGAATCACGTATCCTTCTGCCAGTATAAGCCAGGCTGAGGTTCCCCATCTTCTCTAAGGTTTCTCACTTGGCAGTAAAAATATCCCTAAAATTATCAGTTTGATACCAGAGAAGCTGTGGCTGCCCCTGGATCCCTGCAAGTGTCCAAGGCCAGGCTGGATGGGGCTTGGAGCAACCTGGGATAGTGGAAGATGTCCCTGCCCCTGGCAGGAGGTGGGATGGGATGAGTCTTAAGGTTCCTTCCCACTCAAACCTGTCTGGGATTCTATGATAAAAACATCCACCTAAAATAATTAAATGTAACTCTCTCCTCAGTACTCTGCTGGCTGCTAACAAAGTTTTGTTTCTTCCCAATTTCTCAGCCATTTGCCAGGATGCCGTCTGCTCTCCTCTGCTCCCCAGGCTTATAGCTAAACCTCTTGAAGTAGTGGACAGAGCTTTCTGCCCATAAATAGAATCCCAAATAGTTTGGATTGGGAGGGACCTTAAAGTTCATCTCGTTCCACCACCCTGCCATGGCAGGGACACCTTCCAGTATGGGGAAAGTCAAGTGGATCCTGCTTCACTTGGGGATCACCTGTAAAACTCCTCAGCCTGTCCCAAGCTATGTGTTTACATAATGTCCTCAGCTGGAAGGGACCCACAAGGACCAGAGTCCAACTCCTGGCCTGGCACAGACACCCCAACAATCCCACCCTGCGCCTGAGAGCATTGTCCAAACCCTCCTGGAGCTCTTTCTCTCCTTGTGGTGCCCCAAACTGCCCCCATCCCTGGGTGTGCCGGGCTCCCCTGCGTCCCCGCTGACCTCCACGAGTGGGTAGGCGATCTCGTTGTAGATGTGCTCGGTGCTGTGCTCCCCACCGAAGGAGAACTGCCTGGGAGGCTCGACGGGGGCCGAGGGGTTCCGTAGGAGGCACCGGCCCCGCGCGCTGTCCACGCCCACGATCGCCCGGCACCCCAGGGCCGCCTCACGCCCGCTCAGCGGCCGGCAGCGCACGGCCACCATCACCGCCTCTGCGGCCATCGCGCCGGGCACCCACACACGGGGTCAGCGACAAACTGGGGGTCAATCACACACACTGGAATCAGCCCCACACTCCGATGTTAGTGACACACCGCGGTCAGCCCCACTCGGGTCAGACTCCACCCTCCCGCCCCACCCAGGTCTCTCCACCCATCCAGACCAGGCCCACACGCGCTCACTCGGCGGGACAGGGGGAGCTGGGGGCTGGAAAGAGGCTGGGGCAAGCCTAACCTTGGGGATCTGCACCCACTGTGGGGGGGCACGCAGGGGAAGGACCCCCGAGCCAGAGAGGCTGAGGGAGAACGGGAAAGCATGGAGAAAAAGAGCTGGGGAGGTATGCAGAAAAAGGCGGAAGCTGGGAACAAGTCTAGGGGTATTAGGGCAGGTCGGGGGGAGGAAATCAAAAGGGGGGGTTTGTGAGGGAAAGCCGGAGGGGAAGCTGAAGGGCAGGAAACCCAAGGGTAAGAAACCCTGAGGTAACTTTCGGGAGCCGAGACATGCACGAAGGGGCCTGAGCAAGGGAAAACCTGAGGTAACCCTGCCGGTGCCGCGCAGGCCGGAGGGCGCGCACGGAACCCCGACAGGGCGGCGGGAGGTGGCGGCGGCGGCCATGCGCATGCGCGAGTGACCGCACGCGGTCACCACAGCGACCGGGGCCGCGCTGGGAGAGGCTCCGCCCATTGCCACGTGACTGCCGCGTGCGCGCGTGTGCAAGGAGGCGTGCACGAGGACAGGTGTGCAGGGCGTGATGCGCAAGGGCACAGACACGTGCATGTGCATAGGGGCACTGATGTGTGTGATGACACCGGTACCCAGCTGTGCCCGTGCACAGCATGTGTGCAAGAGAGGGTGAGTGAACATGTGGGTGTGCATCCTCCCGTGAGCACGGGTGCAGCACTGCAGCAGCGCGTGAGCACGCAGGAGCGGGATCCCCGTGCGAGGTGCAGTGGTGTGAGTGCGTGAGTGCACGAGCGTGTGGTGCATCGTGCGAGAGTGCATGAGTGCGAGTCCATGGGGTGCCTGGGCCGGAGAGTGTGTGCACACGCGTGTGAGCACACAGATGTGCGGCGTGTCCCGCCGAGGGTGGGGGAGAGCAGCCAGCAGAGCCCTGATCCGGATGCACAAGAACTTTATTGCGGGAGACACTGGACAGCCCGGGCAGGGGGATAAGGCAGGCGGCAGCGAGTTAAAGCTGGGGGGTGTCGGGGGACAGCTGTGCACGGAGAGGGGCCGGGCCTATCCCCGCTCGTGCTGCACCCCGATGGGGGCGGCGGGTGCCCAGGCAGCCTCCCCCGCCCCGGCGCTAGCGCTGGCCCCGCCGCTGGGGTCCCGCTCCTCGTAGCCGGGGTTGCATCTGCCGGGGCCCAGGCGGCAGAAGCAGCCCCCTGGTGGCCCGGAGTAGTGGGCCAGAAGGGCGGCCACGCTGGAGAACTCGGCGTTGGAGTGCTGCCGTCGGGAGAGAGGGGAGGGACAAGTGAGCTCCCCGCACAGGCTGTGCCCACACACCGCTGCACCCCTGAACTGAGTGTGCCTACGCAGCAAATCCCTGCGTGCCCGTGTGCCAGCACACCCACGCACCTCAGGCACCCCTGGGCTCTGCACCAGCTACCCACGGAGCCAAGGCACCCCCGCACTGGGGCACAGGTGAAGGTGTGAGTCCAGCACAGCCGTGCACTCACCGCACCCCCTGCATGGAGTCCTGGGGCACTGTGTGTGCCAGATATACCCACAGATCAAAGGCACCCTGACCTGGCTGGTGGATCAAATGCACACCAGTGCACTTGTGCATCACATACCTGTGCATTAGTGCCCCCCAAACTCAAGCATGTTACACATCGAAGGGTGGATGCACCGGTGCAACCACGCCCAGGGTACTTGTGTGCCATGCCCACGTGCACCTGTGCCCCATGGCACCCGTGGATCGACGGGCCCACACACCCACACCCCTGTGTGCACCCACACGCCTGTGTGCACCCACACCTGCACGTGAGCCCACCTGGGTGCCTCCCTGCACCAAGGCACCAGTGCAGCCATCCACAAGCACACCAAGTGCACTTACACGGTGAATTAAGTGCATGCACACAGCAGCGCATCTCTGTCCTGACGCACCAACACACCAGTGGATCAAAGCACAAATGCACTTACCACCCATGCATGGGTGGTCCAAACACACACAGAGTTTCAAGTACTGCACGTACACACCTGTGCATCCATGCACGGCCACACCAAAAGCACTTATGCAGCGTACCCAAGCACCAAGGCACAGCACGGCAGCACAGGGTCGCACAGACGGACCACATGCACTCACACCCCCGTGTACCCACGCGCAGACATATCCGATGCGCTTACCCCGTTGCAGCCCCCGCGGCCTCATGCACAGAGCACCCCCTCAGCCGCAGCCCCGCACTCACCTCCACGCAGAACCTGCCCTGATGTGTCCTGACCAGTCCGTAGGACACGACGCCGCAGGGCGCCCGCACCCACAGGCACCAGCGCTTGGGCAGCCCGGGCTCGGGGCGCAGCAGGAAAGCGCCGGGCACGTCCCGCCGCAGCAGCGCGATCCCGGCAGCCCTGGGGACGAGGCGGCAGTGGGCAGGACCGGGGATGGAGCAGGACCGGGAATGGCGCAGGACCGGGGATAGGGTAGGACGCGGGATGGGGCTGGACCGGGGATGGAGCAGGACCGGCGGTGGGGCAGGACTGGGGATGGGGCAGGACCGGGAATGGAGCAGGGCCCAGGGATGGGCAGGGCTGTGGGTGCCGAGGATCAGGTCCTCGTACACACTCACTCACCTGGCGATGCCGGCGAAGGCCCACACGCTCTCGGCGAGGACGGTCTCATTTTCAGGCAGGAAGGGCAAGCTCCTCGCCCCTTTGCTTTCCCCTCCCGCCGCCGCTGTGGGAGCCCGTTAATCCCCTCTTCGCCCCCAAACTCTAGTGGTACTGTGTGTCCCCGTGCCTCAATTTCCCCCCGGCACTCACCGCCGTCGCGGGGCTGCTGGTGGAGCTGCCCCTCGCCCCCGCAGTCCCGGTAGGCTCCCGAGCGCAGCACCTTGCTCCGAATGGCTTTCTTGCGCACCAGCACTGGCGAGCAGTAAGGATTCCCTGGGCGCCATGCTCTGCCCTCTGCCTCCGGCCGCCGGTCCTGGGGGATGAACAGGCTGCGAAAGTGGCCTGGGGGCTCTAGCCGTGAGGAATGTCAGGCAAAACACCACGCGGGAAAATAGTGTACAAAGGAAGTGAAAAAACCAAACCAACAAACAAAACGTGCAAAACACCATGGGCAATATGCAGTGCAAAAAATGCTGTGCAAAACATAATGTGCAGAAGAAATACCATGCAGAACACCGTGGAAAAATGCCGGGCAAAAATCACCATGCTGTGCAAAAACAGTGCAAAAAGAGCTGCAAGAAGTGCCATGCCAAAACAGCCATGCGAACCAGCATGCAAAAAGTTATACAAAAACATATAATAGAAAGATAGTGCTGTGCAGAAATGCCAAGAAAAAAATGCACTGTAAAATCGCTGTGCAAATACTAGCTGTGCAAATTGGCCAATGCCAAATATCAGGCAGGAAAGGCTCGCAAGGAAAGGCCATTTAAAACAGGCTGTGCAAAGCAGCATGTGGGGCCAGGCTGTGCAGGATGGGCCCTGCAAAATGCGACCCTCAAAATACCGTGAGAGAAAAGGTTGTGCAAAACACTGAGCGCACACCAGTGTGCAGAGAAAGGCTGCACAAAGAGGAAATGCAAGGAAACACCTTGCAAGACACCGGGTAATAATGTGTGGTGTGGCAACGTGCTGCTCAAAAGACGAGAAAAGGCCACACAAGAGCTGCCTGTGCAACAACATCCCTCTGCTAGAAGCACCGTACCCAGACTACTGTGAGAGAAAATGGGGCTGTCCTGTGCGGGGCCACGAGCTGAACTTTGATGACCCTTGTGGGTCCTTTCCAGCCCAAATATTCTGTGAAACACCATGTGAAGGAAAGGCCGTGGAGGGACAGCCACAAATGGGCTGTGTCGAGGCACTCGTGCAAAGTGCCAAGCAAGGAAACACGCGTGCGAATCCCAGTTGTGAGACGAGCAAAGGAGCAGCAGCCGGGTGGGCAGGGCAAGGCCACCTACCCCGGTGCCCAGCGGGCCAAGGCCGCCGGGCGCGGGCAGGCGCCGGAAGGACACGAGGGCGTTGACATTTCGTGACACCTCCTCTGGGTTGAGGGGCTCCCGTAGCACCCCTGGCCCCGGGAGCTCCCCCTCGCCCGTCTGCTCCTCGGGGTGCGCCAGGAGGTAGCCGAGCTGGAAGGAGCGGCAGAGCAGGAGGTGCAGGGTCTGGACCTGGGGGAGGTGAAAGACGCTGCGTGCAAATATTTAAAAAAAAATGACGATGGTGTTTTGGGGGTGTGGGAGGGTTGGGCCGCCACCTCTCCCGGGAGCCCCACGAAGAGATGGCAGAAGAGGGTGCTGGGGGGGCTGTAGGGGTTGCGGGCCACAAAGGCGAACTGGTGGTCGGGGAGCCTCCAAGTGCTGTACAGGATGCGGCGCAGCGCGTGTGCCATCAGCAGCGTCTGAGGGACGGCGAGGGAGGGGGTCAGGGGCACCCAGCACCCCTGGGCTCCCCCAGAGCCACCCCCGTTTGCACACACGAAACAGCTTCTCGAGAGAAAAGCAATGCTCAGATTGCCCCCCCAAGAACCTTTCCAGCAGAACACGGACACCTCCCTGGCATCTCTGATCCCTTCAGCACCTCTGACCCCTCCTCCCAGCATTCCTGACCCCCCTCCCCAGCACTCGTGACCTGTCAACCCCAGCAACTCTGGCTTCTCTTCTCAGACACCGACCCGCCTCCCCATCACCCCTGGTCCCCCCATCAGCCCCACAGCACCTCTGACCCTTCCCAGCAGCCCTTACTCCCCTCCCCAGCACCGCTGGTCCTCCTCCCCAGCACCCCTGACCTCCCTCCCTACTCAGCCCCCGTGAGCCCCAGCACCCCTTCCCCATCCCCCTTGACCCCCCCAGCCCCCTACCTCCCCATCAACATCGTAGACCTTCAGCCCCTGCAAGCTGAACCTCAGCACCACCGACCTCCTCCTGGGACAGTCCTGTCCGGGGGAGATGTGGAACTGGGGGTCTGGGCTGTGCCCTCTCTGGGTTCCCCGATTATTTGGGGTCCCCTGAGTTTCCCAGTAAGAGGAGCAGTGGTAGACCCCGACCTTCAGCACCCGCAGCTGCTCTTCCAACCACCCCGCTCGCTGCTGCAGGTCCAACTCCTCCACCACGAAGGATCCCACGTACTGGGGGGGGGGGGGCAAAAACCCCACCCGTGTCAGCAACAACCTCCCAGGGCAACAGGCCGAGACTGAGATGATGGCTGAGGGAGTCATGAGAGTGCAACAGCACCCAAATCTCATCTCAGAGTGTCATCCCCCTCCCGCCCCCGCCATGGGTAAGTCACCTCCGCTGGCTTGGTGACAGACCGGGCTCGCTGCTGGGCGGCCGCAGGGTCCGGTCCCCGCCCACTGCCCGGCTTCTTCTTCATGGCAGCGGGGTTTGGGGGTGAAGGATGGATCAGGATGGGGTTAAGCAACTCCGATGCCACATCTGAGTTATCCGGAGCCCTTCAGGGTGATGGTGCTGGAGCAAGCACGGGAGCCTGGGTCCTGCGAGGAGGAAGAAGACAGACACAACCTGCCCCAACTATCCCCTGTTTCCAGCCCGCTGAGCCCTGTGGAGGTGCTGCGGTCCCTGCGCAGAGCTCCCCACGTCCTAGCGCCAGTGCAGATGTCCCCAAGTCCCAACCCCAAGACAAAGGTTCCAGCATCCTGACTGTATGGTGACGTGAGGGTCCCCATCTTCTGTTCCTGAGCTCCAGTCGAGGGTCCATGTCCTCGGTCCCAGCAGCATGCAAGCAGTCCCTCACGTCCTGATCCTGACAGTGATGTGAGCGTCCCCAAATCCCCACCCCAAACCTGACGGATGCAGTGCCCACATTCCATCCCCAAATGGAAACCAAGCAATCCCTGCATGCCGAATATAAACCTGAGGTGCCTGCAGTCCCACATCCCGAACTCCAGCAGGGTTTTGGGGTCCCCCCACATCCTCTCCCTCCCATCTTCCATCCCACTTCCCACTGGCCAAGCAGCACCGAGACGGCCGGGGCTCTCCAGGGGTCATCCCAAAACACCTGCGATGAGGACAGCAGATCTAGGGGTGCTTTTTGGTCCAGAGTAGCCATTGAGGAGTGCGCCTGGCCCTTCTCCAGCCACCCAAAGGGGGCTTGAGCTCCACAGCCCTCGGCCGGGCTGAGACCGGCGCAACTCGGATCAGAGAGGCCCAGCCGCAGCCGCCTGGGTGCAAAACGCGTGAAAGGGGGGAGGGGGTCCGGCTGCCCCAGGCGCATCCTAATGGTGGGGGGGTCCCTGCGGTGCCGTGTCCCCGTCACAAGCGCAGGTTGGCCTCTCTCCTTCCCGGCACAATTTGGGGGGTCTCCCCTCTCCCCCAGCCAATCCGCGGACAGGCAGCCCCCAAGCCCCGCCCCCCTTCCCCACGCTTCATTTCTCAATGGAGCCCCCAGCCCACCGGCCACCCTGGGGGTCCCCAAGGGAGAGACGCTGACCCCCCCAAATTTAGGTGATGCGTGACACCAGGCACCAAGCATCCCATGGGACCCGCATCCCGCTGGATCCCCTCGGCTCACGGGCAACTCTCTCTTGGATGGCTCCGGAGAAACGCAGGTGAAAAATTCCCCGCTGCTCCGGCTCTCGGCCTCCGCCTGTTGTTTTTCCTTCGCCGGTGACTCCTCCGGCAGCTCCAGCCGCGGCGCAGGGATGCTCGACCCGTAGGTGTCAGGCCCTCGCCGCCAGCCAGGCCCCGGCGAGCCCGAGCCCACGGAGCCCACGCCGGGCACGGGGCAGGCAGCAAACTCCCATTTCCTGCCTCCGATCTGCCCGCGATGAATCACCGCAATTTTCCTCCTCGGTTCTCTCCGTTTCTTGGAAGCGACGGCGAGCAGGAACGCTCGCTCGGGATTTTGGAAAACGCGGCGGCAGCTGATTTTCTCTGCGTCTTTTCCCGTCTCCTCCGGTGTGCCCAGCGGAGCAGCGATTTCTAACCCTGACACGTACGCACGTGGTTGCTCGCTCGCCACCCCCTGTCTTGATTCTCAGACCCTTTTCATCCCAATTTCTACATCCCCTGTGGAGCTTTGCCCACTGCTGCCTGCTTTTGCTGGGAAAAAAAATGAAGAAGGGTGGCTCTGGTCTCTCTGCAGAGCGACCACATAACCCAAAGTCTTCCTCACACCCACCGGGCCAGCCGAAGGAAGCTGCCCCCAGTCCCAGGGACGAGCTTGGCTCTTGGAATGGGGAACCAGAAGTCTGGGGAAGAGATGGGATCTAACCCTCGGCGCTGCATCCAAAAATCCCTGTCTCGTGCCCCAGCAAGCCCGAGTGTTTGAGGAAAAGGGTCCGACCAGCAGCATTTGACCCTTGGCTCCCCCACCAGCACCAGGTGCTTCAAGACACCGCAAGCTGCGATGGCAGAGCCACCCGATCATCAATAGTGAAGAAACCATTGAAAAAAAAAGAAAAAAATAGGACAGATGGGGCTGAAGAAACATCATAACGGAGCCCAGTCTGGCCAGGAAGCGGAGACTGGGGAAGAGCGAGTGGCAGAGCCGGCACAAATGCCCCAGAAGGCGTTTGCTCTACTGGCAATGAAGACTTTCCCACTCAATTCCAGTCACTGCTCCTGGGAAGAAAGGATCACTCATTTGGATTAAATACAACCAACTCTGTGACCTTTATTTGGCTTGGTGTGCAGAAATTACTTAATTCAAACCACAGCCAGAGTCTGGTGAAGACCAAGGTTTTGGCACAACTCTTAATTCAAAGTGCTCCTGCTCAGATGTAAGAAAACCATGTTACCCAGTGTTTTAACAGACACCCATGAGATTGTTGGTGTGGGAATGCCATTGGGAAGAAGGAGGTTGAAAAATGCCCAGCACCTGGGTGATGTCTCTTTGTCCCCATAAACATGCTAGCACTGAGAAGTTCCTCCAATTCATTTCACCACAATGCCAACAAACTCCAAGACTTCAGTACAAGCAGCCCAGGAACAAGCCATTAACTAATGTTTCTAATTGCTTTACATTCCTGTGGATCATTCTTGGATCAGAGCTTTCACTCTGCTTCCCATTAGCTGTGATTTTTAACCTGCTGTTTGTGCCCTTCTTACAGGGTTGGGAACAATTTAGGCCATTTCTATTGGAATTTATAAACTCCCAGTTAGAGGTAGCACACTGAGACAGCAGGTGAAAAGAATAAATTAAATGAAGCTGTTTTCTCCCTCCTTGTGTAATTCCCCTCCTCACAGCTCTTTGCAGCAGCACATTGGAGACTGTCACGTCCCACTGGCACTGCTGCCCTGGGCACGGCAGAGCAGGGACATGGCAAGAAGTGCTCTGAAGGCAGGTATTGCTCTGTTGAGCAGGGTGGGAGGAGAAGGTTCCAGCTGGGTTTTTTTGTACTCGTTGATCACTGACAAGGGGAGAAGAGGACCAGCAAGAGTTTCCAACAGAGCTTTTTTCCTCACTCACCTTTGTCTCCAGAGAAACCAGGGAAGGAAAAGGTCAGGAGTTGGTCCAACTACAGAGCTTGACAGAGGCTCAGGTTAAATCACACTGTCTATGAACAAAGATCTGCCTCTGCAACAGTCAGAATTGGTGGTGAATGTACTCCCTTCTCTCTACCTTTCCAGGAGGAAAAGCTGGGGTGAGGAGAGAATGGACACAGAAGGCAGGTCTGGAATCTAGTTTCATTTTATTTTAGCAAACCGCATGTTCTTCACTTATCAACATCTCTACATTAGCAATTTTATAGCTCTCCAACTTCTCTTTAAAAAAGGGTAAACAAGAGGTGACAAACTCAGGCTTTTCATCTCTTAAAAACATTTGAAAGTTGGATTCAAGAAGACTTTGATATATTTTGGTTTTAAAGTAACAGATGTGGTGTGGAAACACTAATTCAAATCACCCGCCTAACTGAGAGCTGCCCCTTTTGGAGCCCCTCTGGTACCAGACCCTCAGGAGATGCTGAGGATCTGACTCAGCAGCCACCCCCAGGCCTGTGGCTGAGGAAAGCAGCACCTCGGGGCTCAGTGCAAGTGCTGTATGTACATGGCTCCTTTACGGAAACGCCAAGGACCTCGGCATGCAGGGATCTAGGGAGGACTCCTCTGCCACCGCGCCTTCTTATTAAAGAATCACATTCCCCCATCATCCTGTTCCTGCTGTCTAAAGATATAATGATCTTCTTTGAAGAATTGTTTTAAAAGCCAACCCTCCCCCCGGAAACACACGTGGAACACCATACATGTACAGATAAGAAATGTCCTAGAAAAGTCCTAAAATTATTGCAGAAAGTAAAGATGACTCGTTCCAGGGGAGGGGCAGGCATGAGGCACAGCATTGGGATCTAACAAATGCTCGGGTTGGTTTGATTTAGTTTTCAGCTTTTCCCCATCATTCAAGAAAAAAAAAAAAATTAAAGAAGTGTTTAAGCATCAGAACTAAAATACAAATGCATGTTGACTTATAAAACAAGATTGTGGATTTGACCATGGGATTCCCTGACACTGGAAACATTTTACTTTTTTGCCCGGAGAGATTTCCTCATGGTGGATTTGCCCTTGGCAGAGGGTTTCACTTCCTTCCTCCCACTGGCTGCTGGTTTCTTGGAAGAGCCGCCACCAGAGGCTTTCTTGATGGCTGGGGCTGCTGGTTTGGCTTTCTTAGCAGGGGTTTTGACCTTGGGAGGGGGCTTTGCCTTGCCCCGGCGGGCGGTAGGGGTTTTCCTTGGCTTGGGTTTGGACTCTCTTCGCTTCATCGGAGGGGCCCTGCTCCGGGATTTGGGGGGTGGTCTCTTCTGCATCCTGTTAGGAAGAGACAGCACAGGAGCTCAGTGGAGGCACAAACAGTACCCAGAGCAGAGCTGCTGTCAGCAATTTGCATAAATGAAGCACATCTTGGCATCCCTGCCCTTTGCCAGCACATTCCATGAGCTAAATCCCAAAGAGCAAGAGCTCCTCTGGTAGCTCTACACTGAGCACCTCCCATCCCCACAGAGCTGCCATCGAGGCTTCTAACCCCCCTTTGTTAGGCAAGTAAACATATAAATAAGGACAGTGAATCAGTCAGCTGTCAGAACAATTAAAAGCCCTAAGCACTATTTCTCTTCTCTAAATTAGATTTTATTACTTAACAAACAACACTCATTAAGTCCAATTCTGAGTGAGGCAGGTCTCATATCTGGCTACAGAACTATAAATAATTACTGTAGGGAAGACTTTTTTAAAGAAAGCAATAAATACAAAAAGTTCCATGAAGACACACAAACACAGGGTCTCTCTCATCTAGAAGAAGAAAGAGGAAGGCTTCAAATTATGGGATGGGGGAGGTCACTATCTCTGGAATAAGGAATAATTAGAAACTTCTGCCAACACCTGTGAGCAACAGCCCTGTGGATAGGTGACCACACATAGAGGCACACCTGAGCACTCTACAGCTGTGACAAGACACTTATTTCATCCAAAGAAGCCCACTCATCTCTCATGCTGCCATACCTCTTCTTTGGTGGTGGCTCTTCCTCCTCAGACTCTTCCTCTTCAGATTCTTCTTCCTCCTCAGATTCCTCCTCTTCTTCCTCATCAGATTCCTCGGAATCCTCATCCTGCTGCTTCTCTGGATAGAGCACATCTGGGCTACAAGAGGGGTCTGGTCAGAGTGCAATTTGCTTCTAAAGATGCAACTCCAGGGTAGGCAAGCACTGGGCAACCCTGGCTCTCCTCTGGCACTGCAGCTTCCCTGTAAGGTTACAGCTTTAGCCTAACCCAGAAATGCTCCCAGGAATTCTGTGATTGCTGCTGTCCCAAACCAAGGCTATTTAGTCTCAGCAATGGCAGAAACATGACAGCCTAGGAATGCACCAGCCCTAAGCTGTCCCTTCTCCATTTCTATCCCTCGTTGCTCCTTCCCTGAAAACCCAGGGAAAGAAACATCAAAGGGGCAGGATCAGACTCCAGCAGCTAAGCATGGCTGAAGCTGTGGAGACTCATGTGTGCAATAAAGGGAGCTGAGGAGCAGGCACTTCAATGACTCTGCTGCCATTTGGCTCTTCCTGGGACACCAAGGCCTCAGCCCTGGGCTCCACATGGCCCAGCACAATATCAGCTCACAGCAGGAGAAGAAAGGCTGGTTTAGACTCAGAGTAGCTAATCTAGGTCATCCTCCCTCCTCCCACCTCTCCTCCCTTAAGGAAGGAACAGCTGGGTCCTGCTCCTTCGGAGCATCCTGGCATGGAGAACCCACCCCACTTCCTGCTCAGGTGAATTGGTTTTAGCACAGAACACTTAAATAGCCCAGTCTGCAACAAAAGCAGCACAACAGTCTACCTGAGAATACTGAGCCCAGTATGTCTACCGCCCTTAAAAGCTTCTCTTGCTAATGAAGTCAGCTTTCTGTTCACCCAAGTAATGCCATTATCCAGAGCATGGGTGACAATGTGGGAGTTCACCAGTGATTGAACCCTCTAGAACCTCCCTGTAAACAGGAGGTAAATAGGCTCACGAACTTCAGCTCTGCTACCTGAGCTGTGCAAAACTGAACGTAATTTTACAGACAAGCTCTCTACCTGGGATAATAAGGGAAACAAAGCTGAAAGGTTCCACTGAAGCCCTTCCCAGAAATTTGCTCCATCCAGCCATTCTTCTCACATTTCTGCAGAGTTCTCTTCAGTAGATGCACTGTGAAAAAGAAATCAGAGAAAGGTTGTGTTACTATCTTTATCCTCTTCTCTGCTCTCTGCAGTGCCCTCTGAAATCAGAGCTAGAGTCAGGATGGGAAATCCTCTCAGTCAATTTTCGAGCAAGATACAAGATATTGCTCTTGTATAAGCACTTGGCAAGAGTGGCTTCAAATACTCCAAAGGAAGGAGTCAAGAAGGGTGCACGTTTCTGATGACATCATCATGGAGTGCTCCTTCATAAATCATTTACAGTACCATGTAACTACCTCTGTCCAAATTTAACCCAGGTCTCAGACTGTCATCTAAAGTGTGTTTTAAAACAAACCTTTTACTTTGGTTTTGATCTCCTCATGTTCTAAGTGCTGCGTCCTTCCCATACTGCGGTTTGCTTTTCGTTTTGTTTTTTAAAGGGTAAAATATTTGGTCTAGAAATACAACAAATGAACTTTTTATTCTAGTTTTTTATTCCAGACTTTCCATTGTGTACGGTGTAAGAACTGCAACTCAAACTGTGCAAGTACAGGGGATCTTTGTCTCTGGCAAAGTGCTTGGGTTGTTTAGTCAGTTCAGAACCATTTTCAGCTTGAATTAGAGGGGCTATTTACATATTGAGCTCTCAGGGAAAAACAAGGTTCACTCTCAAGCATGTTCCAAAGTTTTTATAACCACAAGACTAGTTTTACTCTGGGTGTCAAAGGTCAATAACAGCAGGTAAAGGATTTGACTCCAGCCAAGTCCAGTTCTGAGATGAGGCAAAAACTGGGGAGGAGAGCAGATCTCTGCAGTGTGTACCCATCTGCTTTCACATCTCACCAGATCTTCCTCTGGTTGCTCTCAGAACACAGCAGAGATCATCAAAATTCTTTTTACGTAACGGAAGGAAAAAGAAAACAACAGATTGCTAGCTGAAATTTCCTTATTGGTCTTGCAGAAGTGACAAGCATTGGAGGCTGGCTCAACACAGGCCCAAAGGACCAGGAACATTTCCAATGGTCCTGAAAATAAACCATGCAAGGGCTTAGGAAGCCTGGAAGCTCTTTTTCCTGCCCCGAGATTAAGAAGTCACACTCAACATCAATTTCTAATTGGCAAAAGGCCTCAGGGCAGGCTCTTCAGCCTTGGAACCTGTGCTGTGTGTCAGTAACCCTGTAACAAACAGCTGTGCTGATGCTGTGCTCCAGCTCCAGGGAAAGACTGTGGGATCAGCAATCTCCTCTCCGCTCCTGAGGAACGGCACCAGCTCAGTGACACCACAGGAACAAACTGATGTCCGTTCAGGTTTGAGCAGAGACCGCTGTGATCTCAGCCTGTCTCAGCTGACCTCCAGCACCAACCAACTGCATCAGGGCTCAGCCCAAATAACCCAAATAAGCCATCAGAAAATCTGCTTGAAAGCCTCTGCTCAGGTAAAAGTCAAACCAGCCATTAGTGCCACTCCCGGGAACAAAAACATGCGACATCTCCCTTCCAAAAAAAATACAATTGTTTTTTCTCCTTATTTGCTTGATCTTTTAAAAATCATATGCAAAGTAGTGACTCAAACAAATCAGTAAGAGGGGTGCTAGTGAATTTTTTAAAAAAGTTAAGCTACACAAGTTCTCTAAATAAAAAGCAATTAGGAACTGCACTGATGCCAAGCTGTCTCTTTCAAAGCAGAGAGAGATGAAATCAACTTGGTGATTTCAGAATAATAAAGTACTTAAATACTATTCCCCCTTCCTGGCTATAGACAAGAGAATCGTGCATTCTGTCTCAGGAACTGGCCTTTGTCCGGCTTGAAAGGGACTGATGGGAATTTAAACCACAGAGCATCTCTGCAGCACAAAGAGCTGAGCAGCTGCAGCTCCCTGCAAGCTAACAGAGCAATTTAAAGGTGCTGCACAGGCACATCTACAGCTGCAGGACTCTCTCTGCATGCAGAATAGAAGTGGTACAGGGATCAGTACTTTACCCTGGAAGTTGGAGTTGGTCCCTGGGTAATTTTCCAGGATATACTTCTTCAGCGCTGTGGTGGAGCAGGTCTTCGGTTCATTCATGGCCACAATAGCAGACAGGATGGCATCTTCCATCAGAGTCCCACCCAGCAGGGGCTTCTCCCCTGATTTCTTCAGCTATTTTCCAAGGAGGAAGAGAAAAGCATCAAGACAAAATTCTCCCAAACCAGGTCAGGACAAGCTCCTCTGCACCAGGTGGGTCGGCGCTCCTGCATTAGCACAGATACGTTTAATATTAAAACACTGCACAGGGAACGCTGCTCTCCCAGCTGTAGGTGAGAGGACAGGCCTAGTCAGTCAGCTGGCCTGTGGGGCTTTATCAGCAACACCTCACCCTAGCCCTCAAATACACTGCAAGGATGTGGCAGTCTAAGGGACTATTGCTCAGGGGAGGAAAGAAAGCAAAATAAATCACATCTTCCTCCATCCCATGGACCAAACGTACTCCATGGCACACCCATGAGTAAAAGATGTTGCAGGCATCTGAAGTACCTGCTGCACTTCCAGAGAGGGATGGAAAGGAAAGCTTACCCCACCAGTTCCCCTACTGTGCTGGTGAGTCAGAGGTGAGCAGTGCATGCAGCATGCTCAGCAAGGGAACAGGGGTCTGCTCCTGAAACGGAGACCAAGAGGAGAACAAGAGTCCTACTGCTTCATAGCTGGACAAGCTCTGAGCATGCCAGGCTGCCGAAGAAAGGGCTACCCAGTGAAACCAGGGGACAGGGCACAGTAACTGACATCCAAGGCTTGTGGTCAACAGAGATGAACCCAGTCTCTGACCTGGAATGTCCCAGATGCTCCCTTGCCTGTGATCTGCTCTAACTGGCCCTTCTCTACAGCTCTCTGCAGGGCGTTCTTCAGCAGCTGGGGTCTGAAACAAAGAAGGAGAAAGCTTTACTGACACACACTGACAGCTCCAAAAACAAACAGAGAAACAGCACTTTGCAGCCTGTGAGCAGAGCAGCACTTAGAGTGTCTGCCTACATGCAGACACTTTAAATGGAGACCTGTCAGCGAGGCTCGGTGCCCGGGCAGAACACGGCACCACGCTGGGAGCCAAGCGGCAGTGCGGGCTCCGTGTCACGGCACCGCCGGCAGCTCCGGGCACACGGCCCTGGCACGGATCCACTCACCTTGAGCAGCACATTTGGACGTGGTGGACACTCAATTAGCTCACAGGCAAACAAGGGGCTGACAAAACCCTGTTAGAGGTGACATGCAGGGTTTTCCTAGTTTTGCTTCCCAAGCCTCAACTCGCTCTGTACAGGTCACCTTAAAGATTACTGTACATATATGCTGGCTAAAGCATCCAGATCCAAGGAGGATGAGACCCCGAGGAGAGACCTTCACATCCAGGCAGTAAAGGCATGTGGGTGTGGTTAAGGTGTGCAGAGCAATGCTGCTGGTGCTGTCATGAACAAAGATGGGATGTGGAGGGATGCAGGAAAAGGCACAGCTTTTCCTCAAGCTTTCTCACAGGCTCTGCAACTCGGAGCAGCAGCTGGCTTAAATACCAGATTGAGTCATCATGAAGCGATATAGAACCAGAGGAAGGCCAAGTTTCCCCAATCCTCTGCTTGCTAAAGCAACTCCAGCACTTACCTTACATCTACTTTGAGTTTGGGGTAATACTGAGACACGTATTTCTTGATCAGGCTGTAAGAAGCTTCCTTGGGCTCACACAGGCGAGTGAAGGCCAGCGGCAGGACGTCCTCAAGCTTCACCTGCTGCTCTGCACTCGGAGCCAAAGTGTTTTTCTGAAAGAAAAGACTTTTATGCATCAGCAGGGCCTAAAACTCTGGGTTTCTGAACTAGCAACACACATGTGGAGATAAGTGCTCCTGACACTGGCTGCTGAGCTGGAAACTCAGGTGCTGTAAGGCAGTTCTTTAACAACTTACAACATTTTGCAGCTTAAGAGATATACAGCAAATCTGGATTAATTTTCATAGGAGTTATAGGAAAACTTTACAAATACAAATTGCTGAGTATCTAACATCTGTATTTTTAATGATTTCTTTCCTCTTGCTATAAATGTTTTCCTCTCCACTCTTCAGTGAGATGGCAGAAAAATCATAGAATTACAGAATTATTCAGTCTGGAAAAGCCTTCCAAGATCATGGAGTCCAAACATTAACTCAGAACTGACATAGTCACCACCAGACCAAGTGCCACATCTGCAAGTTTTTTTAAGATTTCCAGAGATGGTAACTCCCTGGATCCCCTGTGCCAATGCTTTACAGTTCTTTCTGTGAAGATGATGACACATACTGACATGAAACTTAAAATTCATCAAACAGGACCTGTTTACACAAATCAAGTCTTCCCCAAAATGAACAGCTAAACAGGAGTACTTTTTTTTTTTTTTAATAACACAATAAAATTCTGACTGAAGCCAACGTTCTGCTCTGAGTTTTCCTCCACACCTTTTGTTACTGTGAGAGGGGACAAGCAGGGAAAAATGGTCTCTCTTCTTTACAGAGGAAATGTGCTGAAGTTCAGTGATTTGATACTGAACAGCAGCTCTGCAAATAGTGCAATGGGTGAGGGAGCTGCTTCCCTGCCAGCTGAATTCATCCAAAACATTTGTTTTGCTGCGACGCAGAGAAAGTAACTGGGAAGAAAGACACCCATATGCTGCACAGAGAGGTGATGTGTCAGTAGGTATCAGCTGTCTTGTTACACTTCTCTTGGAGTCAGTGAGCTCTGCTTAAAAAGTTCCACTGCAATTAGTTTCTTCCAGGGCACCATATCAAATGTGTGAACATATGCTTCAGTTTTAGGGCTTTTGGTCTCCCCAGGGGGCAAGAGATGACCACCAAGGTGTTATGTGTCTAACTTCACCTGTCTAATCCCAAGGGATTGGCTATTCCAGCTAAACGTTTTGTAACTGCAGCGTTAGGAGTGTGTTTCACACACTCAGCACAGCATGGAGTGGAGATCAGCAGTGCTGGAACCACAACTAACTGTGAAGCTCAAAAAACCATCCCCTTCACATTAGTCCCCAACAACATCCAGCATCAGCAGTTTCTTTCAGAAACTTTAGGATATTTTGTTCTTCTTCCCTCTGTCCTCACAGCTGATGGGAAAACGTTCCCCTCAGTCCTAAAGACTGGAGTCTTCCCTTTATCCACACAACATAAAACACACACAGCAATAGCATAAAACTCTCTTCCAATACCTGAGAGGCATCTCTCTCCGCCCAGTAAAGACAGAGGAGAGTTTCATGTTTATTCAATTTTCTGCCTCTGAACCAAAGCCTAGGGGGTTAATGTAAACATTTTAAAACTGAGATTTTGATCATTCAACTTGGGTTTCTTTCCTCATAGTAGCTTTCTGATTCTGATACCAGTGGGATGTGGGTTTTAATTTCTGTACTTGGGGAGAAAAAGCACAGCAAGGAGAACACTGGGTTGAGAATGTTGGGTAAGCTACATATGCTTCAGTGTGTTTTCAGAGTGTTCTTTAAAATGATTCATCTTACCTTTCTGTCTCTGGCTTTTGGAACAGTTTTTCCTGCATTAGACACCACCACAAAGCTCCCAGAAGCTCCCTTTCCTTTCACCTGTTTCAAGAGAAAGTCCATTTCAGTCCTTAACAGAGTAACTCAGAATAATAAAAACCTGGGAGGGATGCATGATTTTGAATGTACTTGAACCCTGCAATGGGTTTTTACGGCAGAGGTCTGATTTGAACCCACTGAAACTTCAGTAATATCAGAAACTACAGCCAGACATTGGGACATACTCTGCTGTCCTGACCAGGAGATCCTGACAGATAATACAGGCATAAATTACAGTGTTAAAACCCACACTGCTGCAGAAGTGATGCTGCTGGACCCATGTGCTGCTGCAATGCTGTGTGACACAACACCCATAAATGGCCAGAAATTGCACAAAAACCAACAGTGCCAAGTATGTGACTAACACAACAATGCTGAAATCCTGCCAGTGTCCAATAAAGCAGAGGCAGAGGTTGATGAACCTCCACGAGGGAGAACATGCTCATTCCACAGATCTTCTAATGGAGTTAAGAAATTCCTATGCAGTTCCCAAAATCATGGAATGGTTTTGGCTGGAAGGGATCTTAAAGATTACCCAGTTCTAGCCCTGCCATGGACAGGGAGGGACACCTTCCACTATCCCAGGTTTCTCCAAGCCCCATCCAACCTGGCCTTGAGCACTGCCAGGGATGAGGCAGCCACAGCTTCTCTGCACACCCTGTGCCAGGGCCTTCCCACACTCAGAGGGAAGGGTCATTTTCCAATATCCCATCCGACTCTGTTCTCTGAAGCCATTCCCTCTTGCCCTGTCATTCCAGGCCGTTGGAAATAGTCCCTCTTCAGTAATCTTTAGTGCTGCTCCACAAGGCAGCTCTTACCTGCCTAATGATTCCTCTCTCCAGCTCCCTTTTCAGTGCTTGCTTCAGGAGGTATCCCCTCCTCTCCAGCTCCAGGGAGGGGTATTTGTGGATGATGTATTTCCGTATTGCAACGACCGAGGCACCGCTCTTCTGAAAGCAGGCCTGAAACAGAAACAAAACATTAGAAACCACCTACACTGGAACTATCCTGAGTGGGGTGGAAGAACAGAGATCAGACTGATGCACACAGACCACCACAGATGCCAGGGCTGGCCTTTTCTCCACTGTGAATCAAGTATAGGACACGACTAACAAAATACTTAACTTTCCCCTTCTGAGTAGCTGAAGAGCAACACAAACAACACAAAAGCAGCACAGCAAGCACATATCTACTGCTCCCCTGCTCTGAAGCACTCACACGGAATGGCTTAAAATACAAAATAGTCGCATTCTGGCAGTGCTGCACAACTGATTTACTAACATTTTATTACTACCAGACAGAATAATCAATAAGCCAGAACAACCTGCCAATTGTTTTTTTAAGAAGATGGAGGATTGACATCAGTAAAACAGCAAAACCTAAAAGTGAAGTTCATCTTTTGAAGATAGATGGAAAGGCCATCTTGCAATTAAGGCTGGTGGGAGTTCAGGACTCCTCTGAAGGGAGCAACCAAGTCTAGCGGGGAGAGTAGCAGCACAGCAGAGATCTCCTCTTACAATCAGAAGGGATAAAGTAAACCAAGACCACTTTGGAATGCAGGTTTACAGTATCTCCATCTGCCCTGAATTAGAGTAAGTTACTCCTAAAGGAAAGCATGTGTATCAAATAGATGGATGAATCCAGGTAAATGAAGTTAAATGTGGCTAGGAGACACAGCAAACATTATGACAACATAGTTTTCAACCAGGTTATGCCATCCTAGCTGTTCTTCATAGTGCAATTAGGGAGGGAAACAAATCCTAAACAAAGAAATCAACTACGGGGCCCCTCATCATCCTCGTGGACTCACAAGTCAGCTCCGTGGGCTTCCAGGCATAAGTACACCCATCTTACACACTCAGCTTCCTGCTAACACATAGCACTGTCACCTGAACCTCAGCAAGCTGAAATCGTGTGGCTTAGGATGTAAACTGAATAAAAGCCACATTTGTGTCCTGCTTACCTTGATGGCCTCAGTTAAAATCGCATCCATTTTGGGCCGGGAGGTGGCTGCCATCTGAGTCTGCTTCTGTGCCCGAGCCAGCTGGCTGGCAGAGAGCGTGGCCCATGCAGGGATGGTCTTCTTCACCTTCTTCTCCTTCTCCTTAGACTGATCCTTCTCGCTTAGGGAAAATACAGAGCAATAGTAAGAAAGAGACACTAAAACAAGCCAACAAGCAGGACAAGAACAACAAAGCCCAGAACATCTGACATTATTTAAATTAACATAACTTAAGGACTATTTTGATGTTTCTATTAGTAAAAAAGAGACCTTGTATTGCTATTCAGCCTCGTGTTCAAGAACAGCAGCTCCACGTGATCAGTAGCTTCTTCCTTAGAAGTATCTTAAGGAGAGGAACCTTAAAGCACTCATTTTCCTTTTCTCTCCCACTGTCTTTTCTCTGTGTAGGGCCTGACTTCCCTCAGAATCCTACCCAAATCCCTGAGTTCAGCACCAAGTAAGCCTTACTCCTTTTTGGTTTCCTCTGATGACTTTGTTTCCTCCTTCCCTTCATTCTCAGGTTCCTTTGGCTGTTCTGCTTCACTAGATGCAGGAGGCAGGGTTTCAGTCTCTTGTTCCTCTCCAACAGAGGCAGATTCCTCAGAAGTGATTTCTGCATCTAGAAAGTGTGAAAAAACATCAAGCTGGTCCAAAACCAGCTTTTATTCTTTAGGAAAGTAGAGGGAAAAAAAGCCAAACTTAAGAATACATCATCCCACTAATTATTTCCCATCAATTTATTTTCACTAACTTAAATGTATTATTTAAAAGCAACTTTAAAAGTGAAGAAAAGTACTGAAAGGAGCTTCAATAAAGGTGCAATCACACCTCAAATGCCAGAAAAATTGCAAACAACATTGTTCAACATTTTCACAATTAACCAGTTCCAACAGTGTTCTCTTAACTCCACAAGCTGATCTTGCAGACAGGCCTGGGATTCTAAGAAGTAGCTTTGCTTATGACCCAGTTGTTTTCAAAAACAAAAGCACCTGAAGGATAATTACAATTTTATCACATTTCCCCAGACGTGGCAAAGCTTTTGGTGACATATGCATTGGCAGGAGCACTTGCATATCAGAAGGATCAAATCCAGTCAGAAATCAACTCACCAAGGAAATAAAAAATACATAGAAGTATATTTAGCTGAGAACAGGCCTTAGAGAGTGGGTTGCCTACTAGATAAAATGCATATAAACTGAAATTCCACACTCTGGATAAAGAACTGCCCACCAACACTCCTCTGTGCAGCTTATGCATTTCTGGTACGTTCCTGTGCTGTCTTCCCATGGAGGCATTTAAAATACACAGTAAATAAAGAGTCAGTTTTGTAGGTAGTTTTTTCATTTGTGACACCAAAGAGGACAAAGTCAGTGAAACCAACTGACTGTAGTAGTGAAATGACACATTCTGGGACACTGAGGCCAAGCTGCTAAGACAGCCATATAATATCAGGCTAGATTGCACGACATGTTGACATTTTTGCCCAGAAAAATAGAGAAAAAAGAATGAATACTCTGTTTTTTTCATTTATTAACTCCACCTTTTGATCTCAAACCATCTTTCTGACACTACTGAAACTTCATAATTTCTTTACTCCAAAGGACGTGCAAACTTGAAAGGGACAATATTTAGCCATATTTTCATTCTGGAGTGACACAGGGTGTAAAAGACAAAACAAGTGGGTTCAAACTGAAAAAGTGGCTGCAAAGCACAAATCCTGGAAAAGCCTGTGACAGGGAGCCAAACACTAATAATATTTTCATCCTGACTGTAGGGTTTTGCAGGTGTTTCAGAGCCAGCCTATGTTTGGATATACATTAATCCCCTCCAGAACTATGATTTTACCTGCTTTGACCTCTTCTCCTTCAGCAGGTTTGCTTTTGGGAGGAGTTTCCCGGGAAGAAGCATTCACCGAGCGACGGATTGGCATCGTGTCGTCTTCCACTTTCTACAAAAAGCACGTAAGAATCAGCACAGATGCTGGAAAGAATCTGAAAGTTTTGAAATGGGATTAAAGTAAATCAAAGCAGCATAGGTATAAGTGTTCTGGTTTGGATTTTTTAGGATAGTAAAAGACAGTAGCCCTCAAACCAGCTTCTTCAAAGCATACTAGGAGAGGATAGCTGTACATTTTATGGTTATAAAAGAAATAATTTCAGTTCCAAATTAAATGAGATGAGCATTTGAGGATTTTGACAGAACACATCATCTCAGGGAAAGCAGGGAAGGGAAAGCAGAGCTTGTTAGACTCCCAGTCAACCTTCCTAGAAGCAGGAGAGAAAGAGTACTGAGTAACCTTGAGCAGGTCTGGAAGTCAAGGACTGATCCAAGGGCAAGCTTGGAGAAAGGGCCAGCCCCTACCTCACTTAACTTGTCCGTGTGGATCAGCTGAGCTCCCGTTAAGAGTGGAAGCGCCTTATGATGCACGGGTTCAGCTTCAGACAGATCAGTCGACATTTAAATTAATTTCTAGCCCCAAGTTCAGGTAACTGTGGAGCCCCAGGTTTTAACCCCAAGGACTTTTTCCTAATGGTTTTCACAGTGCAGTGAGGAGTCAACCTAAAGTACAGAAAAGATGTGGTGTGAAAATTAACAAAACAAAATCATCTGTGTCCACGTATCTATCAAATTAAAGATTAAAAAGAAAATGATAAATGACTTACACCTCATGACTAACACAACTGACAAGCAACACTTTCATTCAACAAAGGTGCTAAAACAGTTATGCAAACTGAAGAGCTATGGGTGGAGCAGAAATGGGAAAGGTGCAAGCCAGACCTGCCCCATTAGAAGACGGCTGAAAGATAAAAAGGCTCTTTAGGTTAAGGAGCCATTGCACTGCACTCTGAGTGAGGGAACTGGTCACTCAGTGACTTTGGGTAAAAGCAGGAGCTGGCACATGGAGCTAAGGAATGACACCTTTACATCCGTCAGGCAGAAGATACAAGCATTGGGAACCCAAGCCATGCCCCCCCCAAACGAAACCCCATGCAATTTAAAGAAATGAAGGAATCTTTTGACAAAAATGACAATCAGAAGAGCAGTGTCCATGCCTTCTACCAGAAAACAAGCTTGCCAAAGCCCTGCTCCAAACACATGCACTGTCATGGATAACAAATGGGTCAAGCTTAGTTTAACCCTCATCAAGTCTCACCCTCTACTACTATTACGCTTTTACAGCCTTTCTTACCTGCTGCCCATCTGCCTGCACTGGCCTCTCCTAAGGAGAGGGGCTCCACTAATTCCATCACAAAACCAGGATTCATTGGCTCATTCACCTCTCAGCATCCTCTTTAAAAACCTCAGAAGCAAAGTCTCACCTCCATCAAGCCACGGCTGGACCTGTCCCAATTGCATCCAAAGATTGAGCTCCAGTCTGCCCTCCTCCCTTCCTGACAGAGAAACAGCCAAATGCCCTGTTTTCACCTACTCTGACTGTCTCCTTTTACTCAGAAGGCAGGCACTTACCATAAACTTTCTCTTTCATTAAGTATTTCTGCAGCCTGAGTGTTTTCCTCTTAAACAGACCCAGCATCAGTGGGAAAACCCGTTTTCAAGCAGACTTTCACCACAGTTTCAGCACTGCTCTCCTCATTGCTCTGTACCACACCAACACCACTTCTTGCCCAAAAATACTGTCCTGTCATAACTCAGCAGCGGGGATCACTACTCAGTCACAGGCACTTCTGACAGGAACTGAACAGCCACTCTGAAAACCCAAGGGGAACTGGTCCTGCCTCGGCACCAGGGAAAACAAAGCCCAATGACACTGGATGTTTTCTTCTGAGGCAAAACAGAAAGATCAAAACACACTACATACTAAAACAAAACAAAAAACCGAGATGAATGAAGCTGTCTTGTGAAATGTCAGGATGTGAAGATATACTAATTGCCAACTAGAATATACAGAATACAGCACAGCACTTTAAAAAATTTGGCCTGTTTTAAGGGACCTTCCTTCCTCAAGTGTGGAAAGTGAAAGGAAAAAAAAAATTTTCACCGGGCTTCAGCTCAATATCCAGTGTTTTGTCTAGCACACAGAGTCTAAAGCCCTTTAAGAAAATGCCAGAATTTTGAAGTGAGTCCTAAAATAACCAACTACAGATTCCCCCTCAGGGAAATCAGCTGGGGGCTACAAAAGACGTATTCCCTGGGATTAAACACACACACAAGCCACACTGTGGCTGACATGGTCCTGGGGTTTAATTATTTTTAAACTGTATGACCTGTATGACACATGCATGAAAACATTACTCCCAACTTTGACTTAAAATTCCCCAAGTTCTGAAAACTCTTTTGTTTAGATCAGTGCATAAAGCACTGGAGTCTTTTTGCTCTCAAGAGTACAAGTTAACACAGCACAATTCCTCACTTCTGTGCCTAAAATGCACAGACAAGCCAGTATCCAGCAGAAATTCAGGCTTGGTGATTCCCTCTGCAGTCCCAGGCATGGATCATCTCCTGCTCAGAAGGCACAGGAAGGAATCAAAAGGGCAGGAGGACTGTAAAGCACTGATCTCCAGGGGCAAGGTCAGAAGCCCCACCTCGTGAGAGCATCCTCCCAGGGACTGTGCCTGCTCAGCCCATTTCTTTCCACGGGGGCATCAAAAGTGGTTTTCTGCACTGAGTGTGAAATATCAACCACAAACAGGCCTGAACTCAGCTCCTCAAAAAGATAAAGCAAAAAAAGAGAAAGTTTTGCAACAACAGTGCAGAACACCTCATTCCCCTATCCAAATAAAACAGATCCATGTAAAGGAGAAATCAAGTCACCCAAAACAATGGTTACCTGGACATGCTATTTCAAAAGACAACTTTAAATGGGAACCAAAGCTACAATCACAACCACTACTCAATTAAAAAATGAAAGTAACAACTGTATTTTGCATTTACATGAACATCAAACAAACACTGTGCCTTGAAAGGGGGTAGAGGTCACCAGTTGAGGATGCAGTTTTCAAGCCGGTTGTTGGGTGATTTAAACTGACTTTTAAATCCAATCAACTGTCAGAAAAATATAATTACATCAGCTGTGAAAACACCACCAGGATACTAACTTTCACTGAAGTACAGAAATTCACTCCTCAGAGTTACACCCCTTTTTCTAAAGGAAAACTGCAGGCTCACAGGCTCCCAGACCATCATGAACTAGTTATTCCAAAGCAGGTAATCCAGCAAGGAGCTGATAAGCAACAAACTACTCTAGACTCCTGGATTTCTAGATTAGCAGGAATGTGTTCACTCTCCCAGCTCAGGGAGTAGCTACTAAAGGAAGATCCAAAGGTACAGAGATTTTTCCAGGAACTACTCTGAACCACCTATAGCAATTTCTTGCTGAACTATCACATCATTAGGAATAAATAAAAGGAGGCTTCAGGTGAAACACAGATTTGATAATATTTCCAAAGTGTGGAGTCCCTCCACTAATGTAAGAGACACAAGAATGTTAAAAAAAAAAAATTTGTCTGAGTTCTTGAATTTCTGCTGACTTTAAGATTTTTCAACTTATCTCAGCCTTCAATCTCCTTTGAGAGAAAATGCTCCAGGATAAGTTAGGTAGGTTTTGAATGTGGCAATCCAAGTGTCACACTGGCAGAAACTCCCAAGTCACAGGGACTCAAGGTAGGGTGAGCAGGCTGAAAACAAATATGCAATGGAAAAATGAGGAAGTGTATCCAATCCTGGGCCAGTGGGGTGTCCCCTTACCGTCACACGATACCTACGGGTGACTGATGTACTTAGATGTGACTGGGTACAAAGTACATGACACTGGCCTAGAAATGAGGTCAAAAAGGGCTAAAAAAAGCTTTTATGCACTTGCAGCTTAGAAGGCAGGGTGTCAAGGGGTACAAATCCAACAACCTGGCAAGTGATGCAAGTAAGAACAGCTGTTTGTTATCAGAAAGCCTTAAAAAGCAAAGTAAAACTGGGTTTAAAAACCAGGCTATTGATTATTGACAATTATTTACTACTCTGTAATGCAGAAGAATATTTCAATGACCTGGAAACTGCAGAAAAGAACACAGGAAATGTTAATACTTCTGCAAATCCAAATCAAACATGCCAAAGCTCATCACTTTCTAAATTGCAAGCTGCACAACTCTTCCAAGGCTTTGTTCCCCTGAAATCCTCAAAGCTGTTGCCTAAAAACCCAGCCCAGGCAGCAGATACCTTGTCTAACCCTCAGTATCTACATGGCCACAGTAGATACTGAGATCATCGAGCAACATCTCAGATGCAAATGCCTGAAGGCATTCCCATCGCTCCTGCTGCATCCAACAAGTTTTGTCCCAATCCTCAGGGCCGCCATTTCCCAGGAGGTGTCCTGCCTCCCTGCAATGTCCCCCTGATTCAGCTCCAAGCTCTGCATTTGCAGCTCTCATGCACTGGAGGCTCCCAGGGCTCTGTTCCAGGCTACCTGAGCCCCGAGCACTGCAGGCTGCACAGAGCAGCTTGTTTCAATTAACCAGGAGCAGTGGTCCAGCACACACTTCCGAGAGCTCCCCGCTTGCCAGGCAGCACATTCCTCAGCCTGGCTGTGTTACAGTGTCCATTTCCATCCACGCCTTCCCTGCATGGGGTTGTGGGGGAATAACAAATCCCACGTATTGTAGGATTCAGGGGAACACAGCAAAAATCCTCCACACCTCTAGCATGCAACCGCAGGAATTCCTGTACTCAGAGACCCAAATGAGGGGTTTTTTTAAGCCTAAAGATATATTTTCATTTGAAAACATTTTCATTCAGCATTGAATTTGAGCCTCTGACTCCAAGTGCCACGAGTGCAACCCAACTTACACCTTGCCTGTCCCGATTTTTACAGAGCACACCAAAAATTAAACCCTGCTCTTCTGCACACACAGATGCTGCTTTCACTGAAGCGAAAAAAAAAAAAAGGGGGGGGGGAGGAAACAAAACAGTCAGCGAGCAACTTAGATTATTTTGAGAAAGCTGTGCAGGCAGAAATTCTTGGCTGAAGTTTCTGTGAGTTTTAGGTATGATGGTGTGTAATTTATCTCCACACTGATGCTCAGGATCATGATGGTGACAAGCTCTGAGGAACAACAGTTTTGAACAGTTTTTGTCTAGAATGGCCTTGATCCAAATTCTCCAAACTCTGTCTATGCCACATGGGCACTGAGGGATGAAATCACCCCCATTAGAGGGCACAGGGCTCAGCTTGAAGTTTAAAACAAGGTCAGGTCACAAAATTAAAACAACTCCAACATGAAAATCCCCTGCTGAAGGTTTTCATAGCCTTGGATAAAATATCTTAATTCATGATCCAACTTCATGAATTTTGACAAACTGCTGACACCTGAATGAAAATTTAGGCTGCAAATGGTACATACCAGGGTTTGAACCCTAAATAGGTCTTGTCTAGATAGAGTAAATTTAAAATCGCTGTATAAACCCTCCTCCCAGCTACTGCTTATTCAGCTATCATTTATTATTCTACAGACAAAACTATACATTATAAAAGCCATTTTCTCATTGCAGTCTGTAAGAAATCTACCCACACCTCCCATTATAGTCCATCAATGTAACACTTTTATTCCCCCTCACAGAAGTTTAAATCCTCAGAGGATCCCAGGTCACTTGTAACAAAACACTGCCAAAAGATTTACATGTCACTTTCTGCTGAAAGAGAAAAAAAAACACAGGACAAGATATTCTGAAGACAAAAACAATTCAAGGAGCCTGATGAATGTGCATCATGAATTAAGAAGATCATTAATTAGCAGGCTCACATAGGTAAACGAGAGAAAGCTCTGAAAGCCATTTTTCCCAAGGTATTTATACCACGTTCTTTCCCCTAAAAGGTATCATGTGGGGTTTTTCTGTTTTTTTCCCCTCTACTCATTCCTGATTTCCAAGGATCTCCCACTCTATCAAACAATTTTTTGAAGTCTCACCTGAGGAAGGTCTGTGCTCTCCTGCCCAGTGCATCAAACACCTCCACTCTTCATCTGAACTCCCCTCCCTTCTCTCACTGCTCTCATGGAGAAGGGACGCTGTTTACAAACACAAGCACTTTCGAACCTTTCCCGCCTCAATGGGAGCTGCTTATCAAAGAATGCTGGCCAACTCTTTCTTGAAGATGCTAAAAATACTATTTATGGTCAAAGCAAACAAAAGTCACGTGCTGGGAAATCAGAATGCAACACTTACTCAATAGTTAGATAAGAACTGGGAAGTGACACACTTGCTAACTCAGAGGGCCCCTAAGAAGTGAGAAATACCCGAGTATCTGAGAAATACCACAGCTATAAACAAACTATCCAAACTATCAGTCTCTGCTACACTGTATAAAGGAGCAGACACACCCACAATCCCACATTATCCAATGTTTCTTCTGCAGCACAGGCTGGGCAGTTCCCCAGGGATTCCCAGACACTGGTTAGTGGGAAAATAGTTAAAATACACGTGGGAAGAATTTGTTCTGAACAGTGTGGCCGGTCTGGAGCTATCCTCAGGTGAAGCAGGTAAGGTGCTGGGGCCCCCTGGCCCGGCAAGAGCCGCCCTAGAAGCTGCTCCTTCTCTCCTTAAATCTTTGCGGTATTTTACCCAAAAACACCCCACAGCCTAGAGCGGCAAGAAGGATAACGATACAGAAACATAAGCCTGCCTGGAACAGCCCCATTCCAGACTGGAATTTAACAGCCCTCTCTGTAGGAAATCTGTGCACTAGGGGAGGAGGGTAATTAACATTTCTTAAGCGGGCTGTGAGCACCTGGGCGCAAGGAGGCAGTCGAAACTGCCTGTAGGTCTGTATCCATCGCTATCAGCGCCGAGGGGGATTAGGGACCTCTTAAGAAGCGGAGGAAGTGAGTTAGTGCAGGCAAAAACCCAAACAACCGCACAGCCAAGAAGCCGAAAGGCGGGAAGGCCGCGGTAGGAGCTAAGGCTCTCCCTAAGTTTATAAATAGTGATTATTTATTGTGTCGCGGCCCTGTCAGCCCCTTTCGCCGCTGACCTTCCCCGGGGCTCGCCCTGTGTTGGCGGGACGGGAGCGGCGTGTTTGAGCCCCGCGGCTTCTTTGTGCGGGCCCGCGCCCCGCCAGGCCCCGCCGGGCCCGGCGACACTCGAGGCCCGGGGCCGCCTCCTCGGGTCTATACCGGCCCGAGCCCACCGCGACATCATGCCGTGCCCGCGCAGCGTGTCGCGACTCCCGTCACGACACCCTCGCTCCCCCAGGCCTGTCAAGGCAGGGAGGTCGGGGGGGGTAGACACTGAGGGCAGTTCCGGGGCCCCTACAGCGGCGCCGCCAGGCCGCCCCCGCGCCTCGCGCGCAGCGCGCGCAGCACCCGCAGCCTCCTGGGCGCGGCCCCGTGTCCCGCCCGGCGCGGCGCCGGGGGCGGGCGGGGCCGGGACTCACCGGGCCCGGCGGACACAAAGCGGCGGCGCCTCCAATGGCGGCGGCGGCGGCGGGA